CCCTGGTTTCCAGAGTAATAAGGGGCTGAGAAAAGAAGGGAAAGTGCCAAAGTCAGGAAGAAATTGGGAAGGAGATAGGCTTGGCAGTCACTCCCTTCTCTGCTACTTGGGTTGCTGATTTCTCATGCCAAGCTCAATTATTAAACCAGGCCTGGTGGTATTCTTGTCTGTGTTAGTCTCTCCAGAACTCACATAGCCCCTTCTCTTTCCTCCCTCCTCCCCAGCCTGGGCCTCCTGGGCACAAGCCTCAAGCTGAGCTCACCGCACACCAGGGCAAGGCAGGGCTGGAAGCTGTTGCCACTGCCCTGCAGCTTGAGCTGATAGTCCATCTGGGCATCGATGTCCTGCAGGGAGGGCAGAGCTGGGCTGTAGGGGTGACTGTGGTACCAGCCCACCAGGGATAGGCCACGAAGAAACAGGCTCTGGCAGATCTGAGAAGGGGGAGGGGCAGGGGACAAAGCGGAAGACAGGTAAGACACACATGCACACCCTACTCAAGAGGCACACGTGAATCCACATGGGTGCTTGCACACACACACCTCTACCCAAAAGAGACACATGGACACACACGGCATAATGAAAAGAACTCAGCTTGAATCCCACAAGGTGTAGGACCATGGGTGAATCACTTAACCTCTGCTAGCCTCTGTATCTCCGTGTCTAAAATGGAAATACTGATATTGGGATTACTGATCTCACAGTGGGAGTATAAAGAACATGCACTGGGAAAATGCCCGATGGAAGCGCTGGAGTCGGGAGAGACCCAGGTTTGAATTCAGGACCTGCCACTTTCCATGTGACTTGCGGCAAGTTGCCTCTTGTCTGAGTCTCAGTTTGCTGATGTCTCTGACAAAAATAATGCTTGTAACGCCTTCCTCACAGGACTATTGTGAGAAAAACGCTTTGTAAGCCTTAAAATTCTATACAACTGAGTTGTTACTGCCACCAACACACATGCATACCCAAACTACAACATACCCCCATCAACCCCCCTTCTTCCCATCGCCATATGCCACCAATAGATGTCAAAGAAGCTGAAGACACATTGGGCACATCGCCCCGCCCCCCGCTCTACATCAGGCCCACCTCCTCCTCAATGGCGGCCGCTGTGTCAGCATCGCCCAGACGGCTCCTGCAGGGGAAGGCTCTCAGCACCGTCAGCACTGCCCAACCGGGGAAAAGAAGGTATCAGAGTGGCTGCCAAGGGCTGCTGGTCTTCTCCAATCCTCCACGCCCTCCCCAACCCTTCCCCTGGCTCAGCAGGTACCCACACTGGCTGTTGGTGTCCCAGCGACCTCCGAGATAGCCCACGACCTCACTCCTCGTCAAGTGGCTGTGGAAGTCCTGAGACCAGAGGATGGGCACAGGCTCAGAGGAGCAGCCAAGCCTTGCACCACCACCACAGCCAGTTCATCACAGATGCCTAGCAGTCAAATCATCATGCCCCCAATTCTTCCCCCTCCCCCCTCTGCTCTGGCAAATCCCTGGGCAAACTTTAAGGAAGCCATGGCCACCACCTTTAACTAGAGTTAAAAACCAGAGAAGGGCCAGGCCCCACCTCCCCTGAGTGAGTCTGTCTTTGGGGATTTCTCTGACCTTCTAGGGCTTTACCAGAAGCCATAACAGCACTGGGGAGAGGGGGAGAATCACACTCATCACAACTGTGCCCTTACAGGTCATGGAATTTCAAAAAACCTGATCTGGCTAATATATAGCCCAAGCTCTAGCTTCCCGAGTCTGGGGGACACATCCTGGCTACTCACTCCCGCCCCTTCAGGGATTTGCACCCATGTCGGCTTACATATGTCTATTCACTGGGAACATAAGAAGGAAGGAGGAAGGTCCAGAAAAAGGAAAGAGAGGGGAGGAAGTCCGAGGGAACAGAGGAAGTCAAAAGGCTACGGGGCTAAGAAAGAAGACGAGGCAGCTCCAATGGGACAGAGGAAAGAGGCCCAGGGGAACAGAGAAGAAAAGGAGGAGAGGCTCAGGAATACAGAGGAAGGAGAGAAGCAGGGGGCCCAAGAGTGTGGAGGGCAGACTAGGGGGGCCACACACCAGCAGAAGCAGCACGTTGCTAGACACGGACACGTTGAAAGGCTGGAACTTGTTGAGGGCTGTGAAGGACGTCACCTCTACGAGGGTATGCGGATTCCTGCAGGCCCAGGAGCCCCCATGACCTCAGGCACGGACTCCTCCCTCCAACAGGGTACAGCCCCAGGGAAAAAAGCCCCCACCCCATTCCCCAGCTCAAAGCCCTTTGGTCTCTTCCCAGGAGCCAGAAGGGGTGCCCATGCTGAGAGTTTTGGACTGATGGTTTCCTTGCCAGGACTAGAGCAGGGTAGTAGGGCTAACCTGGCCAAGTCCCGGCTACCCAGGGTGCAGTATCGGACTGGCACCCGGCCCTTGTTCTCTGACCGCTTCCCAGGGGGTCCAGCCTCTGTGAAGGCAGAGGAGAGAAGAATCAACCTTTGCCACGCCCCTATTCTTAAACCCAGCTCACTGGGAAATGAACTGGGCCAAGGCTAGAGAACCAGATAAGGAAAATCAGGCTGGGGAGGAAAAGAAATCAGGTCATGAGGCGTGGGGAAAATCAGTGCAAATTTTACATACCACATAAAGACAATTTATAAAAATTACTTCACTGGGTAAGTGGGGATGAACGCCTCATTTCTACACAAGAACACTGCCTATGTCCCAGCCAAAGGCCTTTCCAGTCAGTCTTTCCTTTGACCCTTACAATCCCACACTAGCGGAGGAAGGATGGGTATTATTACATATGAGGAAACTGAGGCTCTACGATGAGATGAGATTTGCCTAAGGTCACAGCGAGTCAGGAGCAAACTAAGACTCCCACACCAGACTTCATAACTCCCAGCTCAGGGATCTTGCCACTGCTCAGCAGGGCCCAGACATACCTGGGTTGGGAGACTCTGTCAGGACTTTTCCCAGCTGCTTCCGGCCCTTCTCTTCCACGAGGACGGGGGTTGAGGTCGAGGCTGGGGTCAGCATCTTCCCTTCCCGAGCCACTGCTGCTTCCTCCTCTTCTTCCTCTAACAGTTCTTCCTCCTCACCCTCACTGACCAGGCTCTACGTAGACAGAGACAAGCAAAGCCTGGTCACTTAGGCAGTCCGGGGCCAGCCCTGGAGGCCTCGTGGAAAGAACAGTGGATCGGCAGTCAGCAAATAAGAGTCTGAAATCCCGGCTCTGCTCTTTACTACCTATGTGGCCTTGGGAAAGGTCCTCAGTCTTTCCGGGCCTCTTTCCCCATCTGCAAAATGAGATAGTTGGCCTAAATCAGAGGTTCTTAACCTGGGGTCTGTGACCTTGTTTTTAAAAAATATTTTGTAACGGTTTTTATTTTTTTGTTTTTAGTTTTCAACACTCACTTTGATAAGATTTTGAGTTCTAAATTTTTTCACCCTCCACAAGACGGCATGCAATCTGATACAGGCTATGGATGCACAATCATGTAACTTTTCTAATGTAATTTGTTTCCTTTGTGATCCTGTGTATTTTATTTTATGCACTTAAAAATATTATTCCGAGAAGGGTCCATCCATAGGTTACACCAGACTGCAAAAGGGATACAAGACACAAAAAAAGTTAAAAAAAAAACAAACCCTTTCCTTTGACTCAATGATAGAAAGGTCCTTCCGACCCGAAATTCTATTTGCCTAGTGCCCCCTACTGGCTACAATAAGCAATGACCACCAAGGGGGCTAAACCAGTGGTCTTTGAAGCAGTGCTATTTCTCCTCCTCCTGTGCTCAGGCTCTATCCCTGGAGTCCTGGCTCTGGCCTGGGCTTCTGTCCCTCCTACCCAGACTCTGACCCTCTGGTCTTTCCTGCCTAGGTCTGCAGAATGATCTTCCCGAAGAGTCCTAACCCACCATGTTTCTATGGCCCTCCAAGGTTTCCACAGCACTTTTCCTCACAACCCTGAGGTCAGTAGTTCAAGAACGATTTTATAGATAAGAACATCATTTTCCAGAGGAGGAAACCAAGGCTTATAGAGGTTAAGTGTCTTGCCCAGTAAGTGTCCCGCTGACATATGAACTCAGTTCCAGTGTGAACCTCCTCCTCTCAAGGCCAATTCTGGTCACATTTCTCACCCATTCATATATCTATGGCTTCCACTGCCCCCAAAATCTCCACTCTTCAGTGTTAGAAGACTTTGATTATCTGGACCCAGCCTCCTTCTGCAACTTCTTCTCCCTCCCCTATCCTGTAGCCCCCTTAAGTCTTTTCCCTAACTCCTTATAAATATTAAATTTGATTACATCTCTCTGCCTTTAACCAGGCCCTTCTTTCACTTCCCATCTCCATCCTTCAGGCTCGTCTTCAAGAGGTCTGCCTTGACCACCCCCAGACCCAGGAATCTCTCCCACCTCTGACACAGTCAATATGCTACTATTTAGATCTCTCTGGGCTGAACCACATTGGGGGAATTAGGGAAACTAGGTTGGAGAAAGCCCAGCAAAGTCTTGACTGATTGGAATGGAAGTGTTAATTGGTGATTAAGTGGTAAGAGTACCTAGGTTTGAATACCAACTTCATCTTTTACTGCCTTCTCTGAGCCTCAGTTTACTACTTTGTAAGTTGGGGGTAATAATCCTTGCACTCTAACCTCAGACAGTTGTGGCAAATCTGTAAATTTGCCATAGAAATGTAAGAGATTATTGACAGAGATGGAAGTGAATCAGGAAAAGAATGGAGCAGTTTCACCCAGCCCCCTCACTGCACCCCTAGTTCAACCTCACCTCCTCTGCAGCAGAAGGAGCATTGGGCTGGTGCCGTTTCAGCCAAGTGGCCTTGTACTGGTCCAATTTCTGACCCTTGTATTTGACTGAGGCCCAACCACAGCCTGACTTCTTGGCGGGGTTCACCAGCTTCTTGCAATAGGTGGCCCAAGCACTGGGTGAATTGAAGACCTGGCCAGTCTCTTGCCAGGTGATCTTCCCATCTGGCAGCAGATCCCCAATGAATTTCTTCCCCTGGAATGGGAAAGGAAGGGAAGAGGGGCAGAAAAAAGGGAGAGGCCTAGAATAAGAGCAGTGCCTTCCTGGACAATCTCCCCAAACCCAACTGCAGAATTCCTCCACAGACAGGAAAACAGGTTCAGGTTGAAGATTTTTAAGTAGTGTCAGGCCAAACAACTGGGGGCGGGGGTGGGGAGGTGGGGGCGGTGCTTAGAACCCAGAGGATGGACAGTCCGAGGTGGGAGGGCCGTGGAACTGGAACATCTAACCGCCCTGCCCTGCTCATCCCACCGACCCTCATTTTATGGACAGGGAAACTGAATCCTGGAGAGGGGTGGTGGGGTCGGCACAGCGCTCGGGTCCCCCAACCTCCCGCTCCTGCCCGGGCTCTCACCAGGTAGTAGATGGAGAGGACGCCAGACCCGGGCTCAATGAGGGCATCTTTGAGAAGTACCCGCAGCGTGATTCCTCGCCGGGTCAGCACGCAGCCGCGCCCGCCCCCTCCCATCCCACCGGCCCCACCGCCCAGACCGTAGCCTGGGGCTGCCTTCTCCGAGTCCTCGGGGTTCTCGGGGGCCTGGCTCCGGCTCGGGCTCCTCCTCTTCCTCCTCCAGCGCCTCCTCCCCGGCGAGGCCGGCCCCAGCAGGGGACTGGGGATCTAGGGCTGAGGACACGGGAAGGCAGGAGGAAGCAAAGTGGGCATGGGCAGAGGCCCGGGGGCAGGCTGGGCGTGGGAGACAGGGCACACTGGCGAGGGGCGGGGACGCTCCGGGAGGGCTGGGGGGCGGGTCTGGGGGCGGGACCGAGGCATTCGAAGAAGCTGCCTGGGGTGGGGATGGGGTGGGGATGGCGGACCCGGAACGCTCGGGAGGTCAAGAGCCAGGCCTGCGGGGAGGGGCTCAGGATCCCGGGATAGGATAGACCACGGGTCGAGGGGATCCAGGCGAGGCCCAGACGAGCAGGCGGGAATGGGAAAGGGGAGGCCGAGCCAGACCCCCGGGGGCTGGTGGGGCGCGCGGGACGGGGGCGTCCATGGGTCGGCCTGCCCCCGCCCCCGCGTTCGCACGCCCCTCCTGCCCCCGGCCTGAGTACCTGCCATGGCCCGGCCCGACCCGGCCCGGCCTCTCCGCTCCGCCTCCGCTCGCCCGGCTCCAGCTCCGCGCCGGCTCCGGCTGCTTCCTTCCCAGCACGTGACGCTGTTCCGTGTGTCCCCGCCCCGGACCCCGCGGCCGGCCGGAGCGAGGAGGCGGAGAGGAGGGCTCAGGGTGGCGGGCGCCCGCCCTCCCCCTCTTCCCACCACCCACGCGCCTGGGCGAGTGGGTAGACTGAGGCACAGCCCAAGCCCAGCAAGGGTAGGGACCCGAAAGAGAAGAGGGAGCTTGGAGCCAGGCCCCTCCCCCCCCAAGTACCCTACACACACGCTGTCCCCACGACTCTAACTGGGTACGACCTCAAAGCCTGCGTTAGGGAAACGCGCTGCGCCGGCGAGAGCTGCCAGGGGTCCTCCCCGCCTCCCACACCAGAGCCCATCCACCCGGAGCCCCCACATTCCCCCGCTCTGATTGGTCCCGAAGCCGCGGCCATCTGCCAATCGTGGCAGAAAGCCCTCAGGTATGGCCCGATCACTGACTAGAAAGCGTCTCCCTTCTCGACCAATCAGCAGCATCCATAGACCTCGAGTAGCCAAACAACAACAGCTTCTGGAAGGGCTTAGCCAATCAGCAGTCACTCCACCTCCTGACCCCGCCAATCGGGGCGCGAGGTAGGACCCACTTGCTGAGGGTTTGACACCTTCCCGGCTCACGTGGCACCTTCTGCTTGCTCAGCTGGGGTCCTGCGCCTGGTCACTTCCAGATCTATGGATGGCCTGGACTTTTATCTTTTGTGCTGCTCAGGTCTCCAGCCAAGATCAAATTCCTCATTTCCCACACTTCTCCCCTCAAAATCCGGTCCTGGACGCTTCTGCTAATTCTTCTTGTGGTTTAAGGGTGGAGAGTGTTCCATCCTTGGCCTGGGCATATAACGTGCCCCATTTTTGAGCCTGCTAAAAGTCCATTGCTACTCCCACCTTTCCTGGCTAGACTCAAGCTACCCATGAGAGGCATCCTACTATGGAGTCAGAAGGCATGGGTTCGTGGAGAAGGCATTGAAAGTGAACCTGAAGCACTATATGAATTTGAATCCTGACCCGGAATGCCTGGGGACTGTAGCACCCGAGAGCCAGGAGTCCTGCATCTTATTCTAGCTCTCTGTGTGACTTTTGAAAGAGTCATTTCCCTCTCTTTCAGTCTCAGTCTCCCCCTCTGTCAAATGAGAAGGTTTTCTAGAAAGTACCTTTCAATTCTGACTTGTTCCAGCCCCAGGGTCTGTCGAAGTTAGCCTCCCTCTGCTCCGAGGGGATGGGACTGGATAGTTTTCTAAGTCCTAAGAAACCGTACTGAAAAATTCTGAATCAAGGTTCTCCTCGCTGTGTTACTGTCCCCTGGAAGTGTGGAAACAGATTAGGATTCTTTTCCCATCTCTACTATCTCACATTGGAACTTCTCAGAGTCGTTTTTAAAAACAGGTTTCATTCTGTGTAGCAGAAAGAGCCTTGAAATGGGGGGACCTGGGTTCTTGTCCCAGCTCTGTTACTATTGGGGTTACTTCTTTGGGCCTTAATTTCCTCATTTGTTCAGATGGGGAATATGATCCCTGACCAGCTGACCGTAATCTGGCCCTCCTCAAATTTCTCATAGTATTTTCCTTTGACTCATTTAAAAATTCTTTTGAGTCTGGGTTGCTATTACAGCTTTTTAAAATGAAGTTTAGGTTATCATCCTGGTCAAAGTACCATAATAATTTCCAAAAGGAAGTGATACTGGAGATTTCTGCAGAAGGATTATAGCTTCTTTGTTCTAGATTTTAAGCACTTTTCATTCTCTCTTGTATCATAATTATTTTCATGTATGTCTTGATTCCCATTAGAATGTAAACTCCTTGAGAACAGCCCCTATGTCATAGGGCTGTTTGTACCCACAGGGCTGAGCTTAAGGCCTTCCAAAGATAGGTAGGTAGGTTGGTAGGTAGAGTATTTACTCTGTACCAGGTGCACTAAATGTACTAAGCACCAGGATACAAGTACAAACATGCAAGATAATCCCTGTCCTCAAGGACTTGACATAAAGGGGTATTAGAAAAGGCTGGAGAGGATTCCCAGCAGCACTGTGAGCGTGAGACGCCTGGGTCAGACGAGGCAAAGCCCACCTTTTGAGCCAAGGGGTGCCATAAAGTAAGAATTGAGAGTATCAGATTCCAACTTGATTGATCTCTACCAGGAGAACTTTAGGTGGCCTAGCCTCAGATGACTCATCAAATGTTCAGATGACTTAAAGGTAGGGCAGCTAGCACAGCTGACAATCCTGGGATCCAAAAAAAAAAAAAAAACCCAAAACAAACCCAAAACAAACCAAGAGAAAACAAAGCAAAACCTCCTCACATGCTAGAGAAATGTGCTAAATCTAATACAAAATTCAGTAGGAATAAATGTAAAGGCCTATATTTGGGTTCAAAAAATCAATTGCACAAACACGATGGGGGAGACATGGCTAGACAACAGCTTATGTGAACAGGGGCTGAGGTTTTTAGTGGACTAAAAGCACATCGTGAATCAACAGTTTTGCACAATTGCCAAAAAAGGTAATATAATATCACTCATAGAAGCATAAAATCCTGATCAGAGGAGGCTATAGTTCTGCCACCCTGCCTTAGCCAGACCACATGTGGAGTACTGCCTTCATTTTAGGGTGCCACATTTTAAGAAAAGACAGGATATTGAAGAAACTATGGTTTATTCAGAGGAGGGTGGTAGGACTCTAGACCATAACATGTGAGAACCAGTGGAAGGAGTTGCAGATTTTTAAACTACAAAGAAAAAAAAAAGAAGACAAAGGGGCCATGATAGATGTATTCAAGAATTTGAAGGGCTATTGAGGGGAAGAAAGATGGGAAACATATCCTTCTTGGCCCCAGAGGACAGAACTGGAAGCAATGAGGGGAATAAAAACAACTCACATTTATATAATTCTTTTATAAAGTGCTATATTGTGGAAAGAAAGATTTTGGCTCAATGTTAGGAAAAATTTCCTAACACTTAGAGCAATCCAAAAGTGAAATGGACTGCCTTATGATGGACGGAGTTCCTATCCCTTAAGGTCTTCAAGCAGAGGCCAGATAACCACTAAACTTTGATGTTGTCATGGGGACTCTTACTCATACAGGGGCTGGCCTGGATGCCTCCTGAGGTCTCTTCCAAATCAATGATTTGGACGGTCTAGTCAAGGAGCATTTATTAAGCCCTCTACTCACTATGTGGTAGGCGCTGTGCTAAGGCATGGGGATATGGAGAAAGGCAAAAACAGCCCCTGCCCTCAAGGAGCTCTCAGTCTAACAGAGGAGACAACACACACACAGATACATTCAAACAAGCTCTCCCTCCTTTCTTCCCTTCCTCCCAGGATAAATTGGAGATAATCAACAGAGGGAAGGCACTAGAATTAAGGGGAACCAGGAAAGCACTCCTGTAGAAGGCAAAATTTTAGTTGAGACTTGAAAAAAGCAGGAGAATAGAGGAGATGGAGATTTAGAAGGAGAAAATTCAAGATATAGGGAAATAGCCAGAGAAAAATGCCCTAAATTATTGGGAGATAAAGTGTCTTATCCAAGGGGCAGCTAGATGGAGCAGTGGATAGAGCATTGGCCCGGAAGTCAGCAGGACCTGAGTTCAAATCTGACCTGAGACCAAACACTTGACAGTTGCTAGCTCTGTGACCCTGGACAAGTCACTTAACCCCAATTGCCTAAAAAAAAAAATCTTATTCAAGGAACGGCAAGGAGGCCAGTGTCACTAGATCATAGAAGACATGGAGGGGGGCAGCTAGGTGGCACAGTGGATAGAGTACCACCAGAATTCAGGAGGACCTGAGTTCAAATCTGGCCTCAGATACATAACACTTACTAGCTGTGTGACCCTGGGCAAGTCACTTAACCCCCACTGCCCAACCCCCCCCCCAAAAGACATGGAGAGGAATAGGGTGTAAGAAGGCAGGAGGGGATCGAATTTTGAAGGGCTTTTAAGGCCAAATGGAGGGTTTTATATCTTATCCTGGAAGTAACAGGGAGCCTCCAAAGTTTATTGAATGGTGGTGGTGGTACAGAATATAGTCTTGCACTTTAGGAAGATCACTTTGACAAATGACTTAAGGATGGACTGGAGTGGGGAGAGACTTTAGGCATGGAGAGCAAACTGAAGGCTATTGCAATCATCCAGGCACGAGGTGGTGTGAGCCTGCATCAGGGTGGTGGGAGTATCAGAGAAGACAAGGCATATACAAGAGACATAGAAGTGACAGAACTTGCAAGAGATTGGCTATGAGGAGGAGGGTGAAAGAGTGAGAAGCTGAGGATGACACCATGGCTGCAAAGCCCGGCTGACAAGGAGGATGTCTGTCCCCTGGACAATTATAAGAAGTCAGGAAGAGCAGGAGAGGAGAGATAACGAGTTCAGTTTTGCACATAATTGAGTTTAAGATTTCTACACAACATTAAGACTTCTAACAGGCAGTTGGAGAAGGATAATGGAAGCAGGGAGAGTGATTAGGGGTAAATAAACAGCCCTGAGAATTATCTGCATAAAGATGATCCCTGGAGCTGATGAGAGCAGCACCAAATGAAATAGTATAGAGGGAGAAGAGGGCCCAAGACAGACACTTGGGTGATACCCACAGTCAGTGGGTGTGACATGAATGAAGAGGCAGCCCTTTAAAAGGGAGTGGTCAGACAGGTAAGAGGAGGGAACTAAGAGAGAGCAGCATTAAGAAAACCTAGAGAGAAGAGAGTATCAGAGATAAGGACAGCTTTGACGTTTTCTGGTCTAAGGTCTCTTTTAGTACTGTGATTCCAAGTACAGAGAGCTGGAAAAGCAGAGGTTTACTGCTCATCCCTGGTACCTGCACTTCCACACCCAATCAGGAAGGGAGGGCCCAGGGTCACCAGGGGCAGAGGGAGAGGAAATTCCCTTTCAAACCTGTTCCTCTGCTTCCTGCTCCTGTTGTCTGTGAGCTGCCCGGCTCCCTGGACTCCGGGATCTCTGGCCCCTTCCTTCCCAAAGCCATGGCCACTGCCCCAGGACTACTCAGGGCCCCGAAGTCCAAGCCTCCCCTCCCCTCCCACTACTATGAGGGTTTTCTGGAGAAGAAGGGACCGAAAGACAGGGTAAGGATAAGAGGGTGGGAGTCAAGGGAGAGGAGACTGGGAACTGTTCCATGGAGTAAAGAGCCTTAGGTTCTAGTCTCTCACTGTCACTGTCACTGATTCTCTGTGTGACCCTTCTGTCTGAGACTTAGTTCCCTCCTCTATCAAACGAAGACTGAACTAGAAAATCTCTAATGCTCCTCCTAAAACATTCTCTGTTCTAAGGACCCTTTTAGCTCTGACAGACCCATTCAGGGGTGTGGGATTATGGAGCTCAATGTAGTCAAGCTCCAGAGCAATGGATTGGTGCCAGGGAAGTCTTATCCATGACAGTCTCTTTCTCTGTCTCTCTCTTCCCTTCTTTCTCTCTCTGTGACTATCTGTCTCTCCCTCCTTCTCTCTCTGTGCCTGTCTCTCTTCCTCCTTCTCTCTCTCTTTCTGTCTCTATCTCTCTCTCCTCTCTGTCTCTGTCTTTCCTTCCTTCTGTCTCTCTTTCCCTTCTCTCTATGTCTCTCTGTCTCTGTCTCTCCCTCCTTTTCTCTCTCTCTCCCTTCTCTCTCTGTCTCTTCCTCCTTCTCTCTGTCTCTGTTTCTCTTTCCCTCCTCCTCCTCTTCTTTCTCCTTCTCTGTCTCTCTCTCTCTCTCTCTCTCTGTCTCTGTATCTCTCTCTCTCTCTCTCTCTCTCTCTCTCTCCTGCAGATGGAAAAGGGAAGTTGTTGAAAACAGATGGGAAGCCCTGCTCTCCTGAGCACTACTTGGAAAAAAGGATGGAAGGATACCAGGATCCCAAGGCTGTTGTGAGGATGTGCGGGGTGTGTGTGCGCGTGCGTGCGTGTGTGTGTGTGTGTGTGCGTGTATGTGCGCGTGCGCACGCGCCCAGGGCCAAAGTGTGGTTCTAAGCATCACCTAGAACGACCATATGGTCATGCAAATACAGATATGTGTGCTTAAGGAGAGGAGATCAGGAACTCTGTTGACAGAGTTAGGAGCCTTCGAATCTACTTCCCAGTTCTGTCCCTGATGCTTTGTGTGACCCTTCTCCTGTCTGAGCCTTAGGATCCTCCTCTAGCAAACAGAGGAATTGAACTCAGTAATCTCTAGAGTCCCCCCTAGAACATTCTCTGTTCTAAGGACCCTTTTAGCTCTGACAGACCCATTCAGGGCAATAAGGTCATAGAGCTCAATGTAGCCTGGCTCTGGAGTAAATCTATGATCTTAACATGTTCCTTAGCATATCAGCTGGTGAAGCTGCACTAATGACCACTTTGGGGATTGAGTAAAGCAGTGCCTTTAACATGGTCTCCATATAATCTCGTGGAGCCATGACCTCCAAATGTGGCTCCAGTGGGAAATCAATAAGCTTATGACATTAGCATTTGCCGGCAAACATATGACTTCAACATAAAAGCTCTAGAGGGGCCCTCTGTGAGTGGCTTGAGAGGCCAAGAGCAAGAATAGGCCACTAGGGCAGCCTGAAGCCTATTGAGGCTGAAGTGAGAGGGGTCCTTCTAGGGGTCACCTTACCTCCCTAACTCATGTTTGTCCCTCTTTCTCTCCCCCTTTGATCCCCAGGATTATAAGAAGTTCTGGGCTGGCCTCCAGGGCCTCACTATCTATTTCTACACCAGAAACCGAGTCCCTCAGGTAAGGAAGAAGGGGCAAAACATCCCAAACCTCTCTCAAACACACACTCTGGTTCCTTACACACCCTCCATCCCCTATATATCCACAGCTGGGTTGGGCAAGACCTTTCCCTAACTCTATGGCTTGGTGGAAAGATCCCTAGGTTTGACACTAGAAATCCTGGGGTCTAGCCTTAGCTCTTCCACTTACTAGCAGTGTGTCTTTAGGTATGTCCCTTCCCTGGGCCTCAGTTTCCCTCTTTGTAAAATGGGAATGGACCTCCCTCTCTATAATTCTGAGATTCAATCCAGGGGTATAGAGCATTTCAGGAAGTGTGATCTGTGTAGCTATGGGAGGAGGGTGGGCTCCCAGAAATCTAGCCCATTCTCCCATGGAAAGAGAGGATTAAGACCCTGGCATTCCCTACAGTATGTGGAAAAGGTGGACCTGAGCAACTTTTTGGCACTGACAGATGATGTCCCAAGGGGCAGCAGCACCATGGACCCAGGCACTCATTTCTGCCTGTCATTGGAAGGTCAGGAGATCAGATTCAAGGTAAAGGCTTCCCTGGGGCTGGAACTGGGAAGGGGACACAGCCCCTAGCCACCAGCCCCCTCCTAGTCCTTGTTTGCAGGTGGACAGTCTGGAGTCTCGGGAGATGTGGAAGGGCTTCATCATGACAGTGGTGGAGGTAAGACTCCCCCTCTTCTCTTCCACCATCCCCCTTTTCCTCCCTTCCTGGATTGGAAAGGTTCAGCTCCAGCCTCTTCCTCTGCCTCCCTCAAGAAGACAATTCCCACCTAGGACTCAGGTGCCAGGGCCCATGCTGTCCTGCTTTGCTCCCATACAAAATCTACCCTGGAACGAAAGGCTCTCTGCCCTCTGAATCCAACTTCTTTTTTTCTGGACTCCAACTTCTTAGTCCAGCCCCTTCTCCTTTGAAGATCTCAGGGCTGGGCTCCTCCAGGAACACAGCCTTATCTGTCCCTGTTTCCCTGAGAGCCAACCTGCTCATCTTGTGTTTCTTCCAGACAGTGAGCTAGCTCCCTTTTCTTGCCTTTCGAGGCCCCCCCTTGCAGAACCCCGTAGTGTGGCCCAGCTAGGATACAGAGAGTTAGGAGAATGGCCCAGTAAGCCTACGTTGAATTGAATTGCAGCTGAAGGTCCCATCCAACCTGACCCTGCTGCCGGGACACAAATACATGATGGCTGAGGCCCTGACCAAGGAAAAAGATCGCCGGGCCCAGGAGAAGCCCTCGTGAGTCTCCTGCCTACAGCCTCCTTGCCTGGGGGGCAGCCAGGGTCTAGGTTAGAAAGTGCTGGGCAACCAAAGGGAGGTGAAAGCCAGAAGTAGCAAGAGTTAATGCCCCATGGAGGACGGACTTAGTCCTCCTGGGCCCAGGGCCCCTCCTGTCCAGGAGTTGAGCCCACAAGGATGGGAATGTGATTAGCACCTGGAGGGAGGGCCACTGAATCTATAAGGTCTGGGCAAATCCTTCACTTCTGAGGTAGTTTTCCCATCTGTAAAATGAGGGGTTGAATTTTTTGAGGCTGTGAGGAATGGAGGGAGCCTTTCTCAGTATAAAACTCCTGGGAATCTAGAATAATGGGGAATTTGGCATGCTGGGGAGGAGCACAGCTGGGCTGGGACAGGGCTGAACATTGCTAGGGGGAGGGCTCAGACAGGGATCAGGGGTAGGACAACTGGTGAACCAGAGATCTGGTAAGGGGCTGGGGGCAAGGCTCAGAGCTGAACTAGGGGTATGGGGCTTACTCTGCTAGGACGAGTGATATCAGATGCTTCAAGCTCAGAGGCCATCTCATTTTATAGATGAGGAATTGAGGCCCTGAACTAGGTGACAGAGTGAAGCCCCACGAATACCTGAGTTCCTATCCAGCCTCAGACACTTATTAGCTCTGAGACCCTGGGGAATCACTTAATTGCCTCAGTTTCCTCATGTGTAAAATGGGGATAACAATAGAACTCACCTCCTGGAGTTGGGTTTCAAATGAAATACTACATGTAAAGTGTTTTGCAAATCTTAAATCATTATCTAAATGTTATGTAAACATTAGCTATATTATTATTAAATTACTTGCCTAAGATCACCCAGGTGGGGTGGAGCTTTAGAGGGACTGGGGGGAAGGTGACTGGCTCTCCTTCTCCCTATCACCCCAAAAAGCTGCTTCCTGAATGTGAGCCGGGTGGAGGCACAGCTGCTCCTGGAGAGGTACCCGGACTGCGGGAACATGCTACTGCGGCCCGGGAGCGACCGCTCGGGAGGCTACTCCATCACTACACGCCAGACGCTCAATGGGTAAATTGGGGCAGGGGGCGGGGCCAAGCCCTCAAGTCGCAAATGAGAACAGGGGGCGGAGCTGGAGGTCGAGGGCGTGGCCAGACCGGTCGTACTGGTTCACCGCGTCGGGGTCGGAGCCAGAAGCCGCCAGTCACCGCGCCCCTCCCCCCCATAGGGGGTCGGAGGAAGGAAGGGGGCAGGCTCAATGAGGCGGGGACACGTGCTGCTGCTCTTGCAGGGCCGAGGTGGTGAGGCACTACAAGGTGAAGCGCGAGGGTCATGGTTACGTCATCGACGTGGAGGAGCCGGTGAGCAGGGAGCCATGTCTGGGGGCGGAGCCTGGGGAAACGGAGAAACACTGGCCATAATGAGAAGGGCCGGGTGGGCCGGGCTTAGCAGGGAAGGGGCGGAGCCCGGAGCAGCTTCCACTGCGGGGGCGGGGCTTGGGACCCAACCCTGGTGGGCGGAGCCTGGGGAAACGGGGAAACGCGGCCATACTGAGAAGGGCCGGGTGGGCGGGGCCCGGAGCGGCTTCCACTGCTCGGGGGCGGGGTCTTAGGTTCTTTCTCCGCGAAACTCTCTGGGTGTCCCATCTTCTTCAGGGTCCAGGGTAATCCCATGGAAGGAGCGGGGCGGGGGGATGCTGCCCCTAACTCCCTCTCTTCTCCCAGGTCTCCTGCTCTTCTCTCCATGACGTAGTGAACTACTTTGTCTCCAACACCAAGGGGACTTTGGTCCCCTTCTACCCAGATGAAGACTATGAGAAGGTCTTAGGTAGGTCTGGGGGTCACGAGGAGCAGGCGGGTTAGGGCCCGCAGCTCCTGGGTCCGGGCCTGGTTATGAATCCCAAAACTCTCAGTTGTTAAAAGGATAGCTAGATGTCCACCCCCTGCCTCCAGGGCTGCCCCTATCTTTTGTGCAGTGAGTGGGCTCTGACATGGCTTCCTGCGCTTCCTCGCGGCTCTCCTGGGCCCTCTCTCTATTCTAGGGTTTGTGGAGGCCAACCAGGAGAATGGAGAGAGCACATGGACAGTCCCCAAGCCTCCAGCCCCCCGGGTGCCAGGTGATAGCCCTCCCCCTCCTCCCCTGCAAAAGACAGGGATATGGATACATATGTGCAGGCCAGTCATACCCAGCAACTGTCATAATCCTTTCCATTTAGTGCCTCCTGCTTCCCAAAACACCTTCCCAACCTTTGTCTCATTTGACTCTCTCAATGACCCCGGCCCACACGGTGGGATCATTATTATCTCTGCTGTATAAGTGGGTGGAATAAAGCCCAGAGAGAAGAAGGACCTTGTACAAAGACACAAAGGCAGAGGTGGGACCAGAGTCCAGGTCTCCATGACCTCAGAGAATCAAAGACTCAGAAATAGTCCGAAATGGAATCCCTTTCCAAAGAGATTCCTGTCCTGACCAGCGCTCCCCCCTCCCCTTTCACCAGTCTATAGTGAGAAGCCAGGAGCTGTAGTGGAAACAGCTCGGAAGTGAAAGTCAAGCAGGCTCTGTGCCACTTCCTTCCTGTGTGACCTTGGACCCTCTCTCGGGGACAGTTTTCTCTACTGAAACAGGAAGAGGTTGCACAAGATGATCTTTGTGGGCTGTTCCTGTTCTAACATTTTATGATTCCATGTACAAAACACACATGATATTGACACACATACGGATACAAGCATTCGTTCTTTCATTTAAATACATTTGTTCACACTTACTAAATGCAGATCCTTGGGGTGGGCTACAGTCACTATGACAATAAGCCTCAAGCTGTGCCCTCCAGGAGCCGAGCCTCGGAATGAGAGTAGGGAAAGGGATTGGGGAATAAGACTGAGACACAATTACAATGGAAAGCACAATATGAGAAGACAGTGAAAAGAATTCCAGACACATTTTCGAAGCAGGACCCAGAATAGGGAGATGTCACCATTTCTGGGGGTTGGAGGAAGATCTTGAAAGAGGCAGTTAGGAACCCCATATACTTGAGTCAGTTCTTGGACTCAGGAGACCCAAGTTCCAATCCCACCTTACTAGGTGGGTGACCAGAGGCAAATTGTTTCCTCCTTGGTAAAATACAGCCAATGAGTGATACCTAGGTCTACCTGGCTCCTAGGGTTTTGACAAAAGTGCTCTGTAAACCTTGAAACACTATAGAAATGGGAGCTGCTTTTATTATCTCTAAACACACATCCATATAATGTACTTACATATAAATGTGAACATACATACATGCATGTACACATAGACACATAAGTGTGTGTTAGAAGCAGCTCAGTATAGCAGAAAGAGCCTTGAATTAGGAATCAGAAGGCTTAGGTTTGAGTCTTAACTCCAGTTTAAGAGCTGTGACTCTGGGTACCAACATTCCCTCCCTAATCCTCTATTTCCTTATCTGTAGAAGGGGGATAATGGTTTCTGCCCTGACTCTTTTAAAGGGTTATTGAGAATAAAGCGCTTTGGAAGTAGTACAGTTACTATTATAGTGAACTATGGTTAAATATGGAAGGATACACAGGTACTTACACATGGGTACACACATGAACGTAGGCACATACATAAAGACTCATGGGAGTGTGGGGTAGTAGAAAAAAGAAACTGACAGAATCAAAGATTCTAGCCTTGCATTCAAACCCTGGCCCTGACACTAGTCATTTTTCCTAGGGGTCTCAGTTTCCTCCTTGTAAGATGAGAGAGTAGGCGATTTCCATGGGCCCTTCTAGCTTGACCTTTCTGAGATTTTCTATGTGTCTAGAAAAACACTTGCCCCTTCTCTCAATTTAGGTACATCTCATCCCCGGGGTTCTTCTCTCTCTTTAGGAGATGCCAAACAGAGCCAGCTGCTGCCTGGCCCAGGCAAGCCCCCCTGGGCACCCACACCCCTGCCACCTGTGCCAGATCAGGATGAGAACTACATTATCCCCATCAGTGATGAGCCTACAACCCAATATGTGAATGAAGATGGTGAGGGGCCCCTGGGCCAGGGGGGCGGGGTAGGGAAGGGGAACAACTCTGGGGAGCCCTCACCTAATACAGACCTCTCCCTCCGTACCACGGTCCTGATCATCCATGTCACACTCCCACAGAAGTGGCCCAGTTCTGCCACCTGAAGGCTCCTGGTGAGAAGGAACAGCTGCCCTGGGCAGGGCTGGGGGAGGGGGACAAGGAAAACGGTTGGGAACCAGGGCTATCTCCCCTCCCCCATCCCTGTCATCCAGCTGTGCTGGATGGCCACAAGCACTGGGTTGGAGTCCGACGTGTGCCACTGAGCTAGGTGGCCTTGGACAAGCTACCTCTTCTCTCAGCCTTAGATTTCGATAAAATGAGGATAATTAGGCTTTCTGTCTCCCTCACATAGCTGTCATGATGAAAGCTCAATGAGTTTGTGAGGTTTATATCATCATCATCATCATTATCAGTTATTATAGAACTTGTCACATGGTACAGTTGAAAGAGCCCTGAATGGAGGGTCAAGGAACATGGGTTTGAATCCCAGCTTGGCAGCTTACTGCCATTATGACCTTCGACAAGTCCCCTTCCCCTCTCTGGGCCTCAGTTTCCTCATCTGTCAGAAGAGGAGATTAGACTGGGTAGTCTCTAAGGTCTGTTCTTGGTCTACGTAATATGACTGCCTTCGTTCTCCCTCCCTCCCAGCACTGCCCGTACGCCTGCTGCCTGGCCCCAAGCCCAAGAAACAAGGGAAGCCACTGCCCAAAGTGCCACCTGTGCCCAACAAGGCCAAGCCAGGTAGGGCTGTGCTGCCTGAGCCTTTCCCCCTTCTCCCACTGGGTGATTCCCAGCAAGCTGGGCCCACAGAACCTCAACTGCCTCTTCTTCCTCCCCCTGTCCTTCCCAGAGCCCAAAGGCCTGGCTGGCCCCAAGAAAGTCACCCCAGGCTCTTCCCAGCCCAAGGTTCCTTTTGGCATGTCCATCTGCACAGGTGAGGGATATGGTGGGCAAGGGTACAGAGGTGGGAGAGGGGACAAACTTGGGGGGGAGGGGAAAGATGCCAACTGTACCCTCTTTTCCTCCGGCCGCGCAGATATTACTGAGGAGCTGGAAAGGAAGCTGCAGCAGAGGAGAGCCAACCTAGAGAAGTGATGCTGACCAGTTACGTGGACAAGGCCTAAGGATCAGTGGGGCCAGGCCCTCCTTTGGGCCCTGACCTCAGGGATACTGCTCGTGACGTCTCTCCCTCTTTCTGCTCCCCTACTTTTAACCCTTTAGTGGGTGGGGCACATCTTGAGCCCCACCTCCACTAGGGACACCCCATCCCCCTATTCTGGATATTAAAGCTGAAGAAGCACAGTGGTCCTGGCAGTGAGGCTTGGTCATTATACAAGGCCTCCTGCAAGGGGGGCATCTGCATACAAACCTGGATGTCTGGCGGGGCGGGGAACAGGCCCCTAAAAGAGCCAGCAAAGAGTGCTGAGTCAAGAGGGGCCTGAGAACAGGTGGAAGGGTCCTTAGAAAACAGGCAGCAGAGCTGCAAGGGCCCTTAAAACACCCAGTATAGACTATTAGGGCAGTAAGTGCCTGAGAACCCAGACTATCACAGCTGGAAGAGCCCTTAGAACAAAGAACACGGAATGTCAGAGCTAGAAGGGAGCTATGGGTTCACCTGGTCCAAAGCCTTTCTTTTTAAACCAATTTTACCAATCAGGAAACTGAGGCACAGAGGGGGAGAGTGACTTGCCTAGGATTATACAGTGGGTCAGGAGTAGAGCTTTTCATTTTCTGTCTCAGTGCAGTGGGAGAAGAACCATGGGCTGAAAAATCAAGAGGCCTGGGTTCTGGCCTCCAACATCTGTCTGATTCTTTCGGCCAGGGCTCCAGTTTTCTTCCCACTCACGCAGCTTTGGGGAGACAGGAGTTTGGACCCCTAAGGCCCTGAGTCCTCAACCCGGGCCTGAAATGACCACCACGTGGGCCCAGCCAGGTGTGTTTCTTTTTAATTGGGGGATGAGAGTAGGAGGGAAGAGAAGCAGAATGAATCCAGCCCTAGCCTGCTCTCCCAAGCCCTAGTTCTGGACTCCCAGTCTAGTGTTAAGGCCCAAAGCAGCATTTGTTGTGAGAAGAGGTAACTGAAGGGAGGGGACTGCCAGAGCCACCCTGGGGACTGCCCCTTCCAGGGCTCAGAGGCTGCTGTGGGCTTCACATCACCTTCAGATGGGGATTGGGGGGAGGGGCCGGGGAGAGCAGAGCAGCCAGCAAGTCCACTCTCTGAGGTCATAGCCCAACAGACACCCTGAGGCTCAGGGCAGAGGTCAGCCCTTTTCAAGCCCGAGGTGGTCATGGACGGGCAGGAGCAGCAGCCTGGGGTAGGACAGGCTAGGTAAGGCTGGCATTGGAGCTACTGGTGGCACTGTTCCGCTTCTGCAGGCACCGCACCGCGCTGGGCACCTGAAGGCCGGAGGACACCTGGAAGCTTCCACACCACACCTGAAGGGGTCGCAGGGAGAGAATGAGAGAGGAGCCCAGGGCGGAGCTGCAGAGGGAGCCAGGGTGGTGTCAGAGAAAGAGAGGGACTGAGTGGGAGGAGAAGCTTAGAGGGGGGACAGGGCTCAAAGTAATCAGAAAGGGATCTAACTAATCACAGGGGATGTGGGGATAAGAGATCACGGGGCAGGGACACAGCAAGAGAGCTCGAGGGATGATGGGGCAGATGGAGCTCAGGAGGGGAAATGGAAAAAGTCCAAAGGGGATCAGGGGTCAGACAGACATGCCGAGCATAGACTGCACAGGTTGGGAACCCTATTCCCCTCACCATGAAGGCCGGCAACAGTGGCTGGCTGAATTTGGCCTTGAAAGTGTGAAGCAGCTGCTTGGTTCGGGCATTGTAGAAGGACAGGACCCCTGCAGGCAGACAGACAGATGGATCAGACAGAAGGAGAGGTGGACGGCAGGACAGGGAGGCCAACAGGGAAGGGGACTGAGGAAGAAGGACCACATTTTGGGGGAGGAGGAAGGAGGTGGACGACAGACCCGGCAGAAGGGGGATGGACCAGGAAGGCCCCCCACCTTTGTGGAAGTCGCAGTGGACCCCAATGCAGTCCGGCAGGGGCACATCCAACGTCCGGGCCTTGTTATTATGCTTGGCTGTAAAGCTGACCTGCAGCCAGTTGTTCAGGTGCAGGCACCAGGAGGCTGGCGTCTTGCCCAGCTGGTCAAATCGGCCCAGGCTGCGGTAGGCAACACCTACTGCAAAGGCCTTGCTGTCTCGGTCATAGCGTACCTCCCAGTAATGCTCACCACCATCGATGAGGGTGTCTCCTAAGAACAATGGAGGGAGAACAGGATGAGCTAGTCCAGAGCCTCCCTCAGCCCCACGTGCAAGCCTCTGGAGTCCTGCCCAACACTACCCTCCCACACACTTCTCTCCCACCCATAACGTCCCAAGCCCCCATCTCACTCCCTCCAGGACCCACATGAGAGCCTTAGAGAGGAGGCAGAAAGACCAACTCCTGGGTCTTGGGTGCTGTTCCCAGAACCTGCCCCACTAAGTAGTCCCTCAGTTTCCCTGGTCATATACTCCTCTCCCTCTGCCCCCATCCCTCTAGCCCCACATCACCTCCATCTTACCCAGCACGGTGTAGGACTCGGCCGTGAATCGGTCCCGGCCTCCCCTCCCAGACGGCATCCTCTTGGGAGACTGGGCACATCTGTGAGCATTAGGCAGGCTCTGGTGAAGGGGCAGCTCTTCCTCCCCCACCTCCAGAAACTGCCCACCCTCCAGGAAGCCTTCTGTGACCAACCCCTCCATTCATCTCTAGTCCAACTGAGCATCCACCTAGATATAGCAGCTTACAACCACCTTTGTTAATAATACCATCCTCTATAAAGGTCAAGCATGACTCAAATTAAGAAATATGGGAAGACGTCCCCAACCCACCACTTCATGGAAGTGGGAGGTGCACAGGTGTTGCCCAACGAATATGATTTTGGACTTTTTCAAATGCAATCATCAGTTGTGCTGTTTTTTTCCTCTTCTTTTTATCACCCTCCCCCTTTTTTTTTTTGGCCTGTAAAATATTATTAATTATATGGGATAGCTCTCTGAGAGAGGAGGGAGGGGATACTGGGGAAAACTATGATGATGTAAAACATGAAAGACATCAATAAAAACTTACTTTTAAAATGCTACCCTATAACATTGAGTAATACTCACACTACTAACAATGCTGCTGAATACTGCTAATCCTCAACATTTCAGTGGACCTGTGACCTCAGTTAGGTGGGTCCTCATCCCTCCAGTGGTACAGATTGATCACAATCCATTCATACCTTCTTAGGCCTTGTCCGTTATCTTCCATAAATTCTCCACAAGGAAGGGGTCCACTTAACATGCTGGGGCCCCATTCAGATTTCATGAGATAATGTGGGTACCACAGGCCACTGCTGTGTTATGCCTCACTCTCACTCCACGACTGGCCCACCTCCTTTTCTGACCATAAAGGTCTTTGATGACATCTTTTGTGCCATGACCAGTTGTTCATCAGGAATATGCTCTGGTCTATTTATGCCCACTGTATGCTCTCGTTGGCCTTTGTGGGAATGGCAACTTTAATTCTTAAGACTGTGTTAGTCTATGAACTTGAAGCCAAGGAGCATCAATGGAAGAACCTTAGTGTTAAAAAAACAGATGGGCCTTTGCTTCAGGGAGAAGCTTGGGGTCATTATAAATCCTGTGCAATTTCTTGAAGCAGTACAATCCACACTCCAATTCTGGGTCCAGTTATTTGTCCTTCTGCAATGTCTGTCCAAGACAAAAGGCCCAACTCCATGGGTAATCCATTCAAAAGCACGTGCTAGATTGGACAACAGGTATTCATCCACTTGGTTTTTCCTGTATGGACAGTTAGACCAGACTCTTAAAGGGGAGGGGAGCAAGTATTAAGTGCCAAGTGTGTACCAAGCACTATGCTAAGCACTTTACATAGATATCATTTGATACACAATCGCCCTTGAGTGACTGTCTATCTCCTACAGGAGCTCTGCAGTGTTTTAGGATTTAATGCAGTCAGCACAGCATCATTCACAAACAGAAGAGGACCTCACCACCGGTAGGGAATCCCTTTTCCATCTGGACTCTGTTGGACATCTTAAACGATGGTAGTAAACACCTCTGCTGAGCAGATAGATGTTTGGGCTTTATATGACAGTAATAATCAGAGGATCGATTATCTTTGTTATGATTTTTAGGGACTCTTGCATGATTTTGACATATACAGAGGAGACACCTTGTTGGAGGGCAGCATTGAAGATGTAACTTCCTTGAAGCCAGGGACCATTCAAGTGTTTGTCTTTGCATCCCCAGCACAATAGGTTGGCATAATAGGACGCACTTAAATTCTTGGTGAACTGAGTTGAAGGTGCCATTCTGTGCTATTCAATCACATTTTTAAAACAGGCAATACACAATAAACATAGCAGGATCTTGTAGTCTCTGTATCTTTCAGCTGATTTCATGACTATAAAGATGGAGTGTGCTGTGAAGTTATCATTTATGAAAGCTTGCCTGTTCCCTTCATCAAAGACGCCTTGATGGATGCACGTGTAGTTTATTTTCATTAGGACCTCACAGACATGGGAAAATAAGCTGATGGGTTAGCAGCTAGAATACTTTCTTGATGGCCTTTTTTGAAAAATAGCAATAATGCTATAAGAAATGATGAACAGAAGGACTTCAGAAAAACCTGGAAAGACTTGTATGCATTGATGCTGGGTGAAGTGAACAGAGCCAGCAGAACCATTGTACACAGTAATAGCCAAGCTCTGCAATGACTAACTTTGATAGACTTAACCCTTCTCAGCAACGCAAGGATTCAAGACATCTCCAAAAGTCTCATGATGGAAAATGCTATCCACATTCAGAGAAAGAACTATGGAGTCTGAATGCAGATCGAAGCAGACCATTTGCTCTTTTTTTTCTTCTGTTTTGTTTTGTTTCCTCTTTCTTGCGGTTCCTTCTATTGGTTCTAATTCTTCCTTACAACATGACTAATGTGAAAATATGTTTAATAGGAATGTATATGTACAGCCTATATCAGATTGCTCACCATCTTGGAGAGGGAGATGGGAAAAGAGGGGGAGAAAAATTTAAAACTCAAAAGCTTGTGGAAGTGATTGTTGATAAATCAAAATAAATTAATAAAAAAATAAAAATTTAAAAAATAGTAATAATTGCTGTGATTTTTTCCTAAGCATTTATTTATCCTTCCTGTGAATCAAATGACCAATGACTCTAAAATCGAGTCATCTCTGGAACAGATCTCTTTTACTTCTGAGATAGAAGCTACATCTTTGACTTTTACTACCATTTCTACTTATTCATACAGCACATGGTCTATAATAATAGGGGCCAAATGTGGTGGTGATTCTACCGTCACTGATGAAGGAAATAGTTTCTTACAGAAATCTTTACAGGTTTTTAAATTTTTTTTTTGTTTCTTATCCTCTTTCCAGTCTTGTCATTAAATGATCTAGGGGTTATCTGATTTATTTGGGTCTCTTGCCAAACTTTCTGTAAACTTGCTTGTTCTTCCACTGCTGCTCACTGTTTTGAAGTAATTCTGTTCAATCTTCCATCACAACCTGTATAATTTCACATATATTCTAATCCATTCTTGTCCTTGACTCTCACCTCTCTCCACTTGACCGGGAGATAAAGTGCTAGCTGACCAAGGCAGTTTTAGGTTCTTTTGGTTTTTTTGTTGTGGCAGTTGGCATCAGCTCAACTTCCTAAGGCCTGGTGACAATCTGGGACAATGTCAGTCCTTTTACCCAGTAATCTTGTTTTCAAGCCTGGAGAATTTTGCATAAGACTCTCCAAACAGGCAGGTAAAATGGTTACTAGATGCTGCGTGCCTGTATGAAGGGAGGCATTTGTGAAGAGTTCTGAAGAGGAGAGAAATTCTTTATTTCTTTGAGAGAGGCTATATGGCACTCTTCTGGGGTCCAACTCGCCATGTAGAGAGGCAGAATTTGGAAGGCGGGTATGGAGGGGAAAGCTGTCTCCTCAACATGTCTCTGATTTCCAGCTTGCCTCCTTAGAGCCTTGGGGAATTTCCCCTTGGGTGAAATAGGGCTCTCCTCGGCTGCACCAGATCTCACTTTTCTCTCATCTGAAAAGCTGCTCATTCGCTTCTGTGTATTTTCTGATATAGTCTAATCTACAGAATCCAATTTCCATGTGCTACGTGTTGGGTGACTTTACTTGCTACTTCTTCACTATTTGTGAAGGTCTTTTTGAGTCATTAGCATTTAGGGGGAGAAGTTAAGCTTTTGGGCATAAGCCTATGATTTTGTTGTTCAGCTGTTTTGTAAGCATGTCCACCTCTTCATTACCCTATTTGGGGTTTTCTTGGCAAAGATATTAGAATGGTTTGCCATTTCCTTCTCCAGCTCATTTTGTAGTTGAGGAAACTGAGCTAAACAGGGTTAAGTGACTTGCCCAGGGTCTCACAGCTGGTGTCTCAGGCCAGATTTGAATCCGCGAAGATGAGTCTTCCTGACTCCAGGCGCAGTACGCTAGCCACGGTGCCACCTAACCACCCCAAGCCTGGGGTACCCTCCCCTATAAGAAGTACTGATTTGAACCTAAAAATTATTCCCTTAGACCAGTAATGCTTAGTAAGACAGATATAATTCTAGATGAGTACCCCCACTAAGAAGAGAACAGAGAGGTCAGCCTCATAGTCCCTCATCTTCCAACCTCATCTTCTCCTCCAGGTAAGAATCAGTCTTCCTGTGAGGAGAGTGGGAAATATTTCAGTGATATCCATCCATACCTCCCCACTGAATTAGACAACTGACATGAACATATATACATGGCAACACAACATTCTAGCATCCATTTCCCGGTTTTGGGTATGAATAGCTTATTTAAATAACTCAGGTTCAGACTGTTTTAATTACATGCCACATTCCATGTTTAGACTTTCTTCTAATTTAGTATATATTTTGACCTTTGAAGCTAGGTGGCACAGCAGATAGAGCACTAGGCCTGGAATTGGGAAGACTTGAGTTCAAATTTGGCCTCAGATATTTACTAACTGTGTGACCCTGGGCAAGTCACTTAACTCTCTCTGCTTCAGTTTCCTCATCTGTAAAATGAGGAATATCTGTACAATTTATTTTATTTTTTTTGGCTAGGCAATGGGGTTAAGTGTTATATGTCTAAGGCTGGATTTGAACTCAGGTCCTCCTGAGTCCAGGGCCAGTGCTCTATCCACTGCGCCACCTAGCTGCCCCTGTACAATTTATTTTAAAAAAGGAATAGCATTTACCTCCAAAGGTTGTCGTGAGGGTCAAAATGAGATAATAGTTGTAAAGCATTTAGCGCAATGCCTGGCACATGGCAAACGCTATATAAACGTTAGCTATTATTAACAAGTCGATTGTCCATAGCTATCTGATTTGGAAATGACTCCCACATGGTAATCAATTGTTTCCTCTCAGTTAAGATTGAGTTGATTTCATTCTGGGTAAAAATTTCCAGTGCTCTCCATGATTAATGCCTCTAGAACGTCATCTTGAAGAAATTATGTATACTAGAGATATATGAGGCTCCAATGTGGTCCATAAGCCTTTGGTCTCTTTTGTGTATTTAATCTTCAGCCATATTTCCCAGCATGGTTTTCACCATCTTCCCTTATACCCACTTCTGCACTGAGGCCACCAAGTATTAAAACACACATTGTTTTAATTTGGAAGATCTCATCAAGTTTGGCGGTTTTTGGTAGAATTTCTCTACCTCCCTGTTCTTTTCAGACATTGAAATTATTCTGATGGTGGTCTTTTTGCAAATGCTTAACATAAGCACCATAATACAAGATGATCAAGTGTCCTGTGAAATGATGCTTCTTGCTAACTTTGGAATCACAATAATACTAACTCTTTTGCTTCTTCAGGTGGTGAGGTGGAACAAGGGATAGTGTGCTGCGCTTGGAGTCAAGAAGACCTGGGTTTTAATCCTGACTCAGACACTTATGAGCTTTGTGATCCTGGGCAAATCATTTAACCTCTCTCTTTCTCAGTTTCCCCATCTGTAAATGGGAATAATAACTTACTTCACAGGGTTGTTAAGGATAAATTGTCGAGGATAAATTGAGATAGGACATGCAAAATGCTTTGTAAACCTTTAAGCGCTATTATTATTGCTTCAAGGATAACCTTGGGAGATACCCTTCAATTTGTCTTCAACTTCCTTTTTTCCTTATGGTTTGGTTTATAGTGAAGATATCAACTTGACATAACTAATTTCCTCCAGTGGTAATGTCAACTCACCCTGGACAAGGATCTCAAATTCAGAATGTCAATAATTAATGTTTGTAGACTCTTCACATCCTGTTCCACCTATTTCTGTCACTGTCTCTGTGGAAGCACAAGGGAGCAGTAGAGGACCAAAGGTCATAAGGAAAATCTTAGTTGGATTGACTTGGCCAACCCAGGCCTTGGTCAGCCTACGGGTGGTGAGCTTCTCGGTTGCTGAGTGAGACTGGCCCTTAGAAAGCAGACTCAGTCTGACACCAGAACCCTACCTAAAGTCTTTCCAGTTTGGTAGAACCTGTTGGAGTTTACACTTTCCTACCACAGTCTTCAAAAACCCAGGGTCACCTTCATGCAACAATGAGGTTTGTTGCAAGTTTTCCAGGCATTCACCTTACATTCTGCCCCTTCCAAACTGGAAGCTTCCCAAAGGTAGGGCTGTGTCAGTCCCTTAGACCTTGGGACTCTGGGGAGAGGGGAGGGATTACCTGGCTGGAGAGTTGACAGGAGAGGCAGTTCGACCTTTGCTGTCTTTCTCTCGAGCCTTGATGTCCTGAACTTTCCCTCCCATGGCGTCCCATTCCACCGATAATTCTTCCACCCGCAAGTTCTGGTGGCATGTCATGGCATCCAACCGGAACATGAAAGCTGTCAAAAGGCAAAGCCAGGTCATCCTGGGGCAGTCTCAACCCCCTACCTGGAGCTCCATAATAACCCAGAGCCAGAGACACTACCCCCTTTAGCCAAAGAGCAGCAGGCCAGCAATGGTGCTGAGAACTCATGATCTTCAAGTCACTGAAGAGGAGAGGAGGGTGAGCACAGGAAGGACAGATGGAGCCTGTTGGCTCATCTGTTAAATGGATCAGTAATATCTGCACTAAAACATTACAGAAATATGTTATTATACTATATACCAAGGATCACTAGAGGGAATGGACTTAAGCTACAGTGGGAAGCAGTGAAGTTAGACCCCTTCGTGGGGAGCTGGCTGGCCACTGGTCACTGCCCCCTCATTGTGAAACCTATTTCTTTTTTTAAAATTAATTTATTTTTAGTTTTCAACAATCACTTCCATAAGCTTCCGAGTTTGAATTTTCTCCCCCTTCCTCCCCAAGATGGCATACAATCTGATATAGATTCTACATATACATTCCTATTAAACATATTTTCATATTAGTCATGTTGTAAAGAAGAATTTGAACCAATAGGAGGAACCACAAGAAAGAAGAAACAAAACAAAACAGAAGAAAAAAGAGAGCAAATAGTATGCTTCAATCTGCATTCAAACTCCATAGTTCTTTCTCTGGATGTGGATAGCATTTTCCATCATGAGACTTTTGGAGATGTCTAAGATCCTTGCATTGCTGAGAAGAGCGAAGTCTATCAAAGTTAGTCATCACACAACATGGCTGTTACTATGTGCAGTGTTCTCCTGGTGCTGCTCACTTCACTCAGCATCAATCCATACACATTTTTCCAGGTTTTTCTGAAGTCAGCCTGCTCATCATTTCTCATAGCAAAATAGTATTCCATTACATTCATATACTATAACTTGTTCAGCCATTCCCCAATTGATGGGCATCCCCTCAATTTCCAATTCTTTGGCACTACAAAAAGAGCTGCTACAAATATTTTTGTACATGTGGGTCCTTTTCCCACTTGTCTGATCTCTTTGGGATACAGCCCTAGAAGTGCTATTGCTGGGTCAAAGGGCATGCACATTTTTATAGCCCTTTGGGCACAGAAACCTGTCTATTTCTAAAGGCAGGCAGTGACCCTCCTTGGTGCAAGTCTTCCCAGGAAGATGGAACTGATTGATTCCAAGGCTGCCCTTAGAACTAGGAGTCTAGAGCTCTTAAGGAAGGTTCAAAGGAGGGGAAAGAGAAGAACAGGAAGGGAGTCACTCACCTGTGGTTTCTAGTGTGACAGGTTCTGAGAACTCTCCAGCCACTGCCTTGTTGCATGCTCTTACTCGAAAGTTCATGTATTTCATGTCAAACTTCAGACCTAAAAGGAAGCCACAGATACCTCACAATAATGATTACACTTTTCTGGTGGGAAACAAAATTGCATTACCCTGAGGTATATACTCATTTTCTAAGTAACAATATTAATACCGGGTAAAACTACAACTACTAATAGTACTGCTGCTCTTCACACTGAGTAACACCCAAAGTGCTAAGAATACTGAGTTGTTTTCCTTCCTTCCTTTTTCTTCTTTCTTTTCCTTCTTTTTCTCTTCCTTCCTTTTCCTTTCTTCTTTCTCTTCCTTTTCTCTTCCTTTTTCTTCCTTCCCTTTTCCTTCCTTCCTTTTCCCTTCTCCTTCTTCCTTCCTTCCTCTTCTTTTTCTTTCTCTCCTTCTCTCTTTCCCTTCCTTCCTTCCTTTCTTATCTTCCTTCTGCTGCTGCTGCTCCTACTAACCCTAAAGCTGAGTAACACTGAGGCCAGTAGATGTTATATAATGGAAAGGCCACTGGAAGTGGCATCAGATGACCTGATTTTGTATCTAAGCTCTTGACCAATTATTAGACTTTGGGCAAATCATTGAACTTCTCCACATCTCAGTTTTTTTCATCTGCCAAATGAAGGTGCTGGACTAGATCAGTGGTTCCCAAAGTTTTTTTTTTCCCATTAACCCCTTTCAACAACAATAACAAAGTGTTGTGAACTCCCAGGGTAACTGCATATACTACTTACAAGATTTTTTTATTTATTAAGTGATTATAATAACTAGAAAGGTAACTTTCGTCCAAAAAAGTTCCAAATTAAAACTTATCTTATATCATTATAAAATATAAAATTTCATTCTACCTATGGTTATGAAAATTCTAAAAGATATAAAAGTATAAAACTCTACAAAATAATCATGGATATGTTATGTGTGACATTCTTTCAGAATTAAAAGAATTATTTCTCCAGCAAGACCTCATAAGCTTACTATCATCTGCATGTAGTAACATGATTGGACAGTTATTTTCTGCTTAAATTGTCATGAAATATTTTGAGTGGGAACAACACAACTAGACAGTCTCTGAGTTACCTTCCAACTCTAAAATGTTGCGATCTTACAAACAATGAGGACCCTTAATACTAAATAACCCTAAAATTATTAACAATACTTCCAAGCACTGACACTGGATAACTCTAAAATAACAATCCTAACCCTGGTAGAACGGCATCATTACTTCCCTTAGCACGAAGTCACACTAAAACAACTAACACTATGAAGTGGCCCCTTATGGAGTATCAATGATGTTGTACTACTAAAAACTAGGCCTGGACCAATGAGAGGACCCTCCCAGTGAGGAAGCTCCCTTCCTGATGCAGGCCAGCACCTTCTCCAAAATTTATGAACTTAGAGGGTTGTCCAAACCCCTGAGAAATAAAATGACTTGGCCAGCCTCACAGAGTCAGTGTGTCAGAGGTGGAATGACCCCAGCCCTTCCTGGCTGTAAGGCCAGGCTGGCAACCAGTTCTTACCGTGGCCAACTCTGCTGCTTATTCAAGTGATCCCATTCCATCATGTCTCCTCCAAAAGACTGGCCCTTGTGCTATCCCCATGATATCACTTATTTTCCTTTAAGTTCCAATGAACATCCCACCTTCTACAGGAAACCTTCCCCAAACCCTCTTAATTCCAATGTTTCCTCCCATTAAATATCTCCTATTTATCCTGCATAGAGTGCCAGGCCTACAATCAGGAAGACCCGAGTTCAATTCCAGCCTCAGACATTTACCGTGTGACTCTGGGCAAGTCATTTAACCCTGTTTGCCTCAGTTTCCTCATCTGTAAAATGAGCTGGAGAAGGAAATGGCAAACCACTCCAGTATCTTTGTCAAGAAAACCTCCAATGGGGTCACAAATAGTCAGAGTCAACTGAAATGACTGAACAAATTTACCCTGTGCATAGTTTGCATTGTATTTACTTATTTACATGTTGTCTCCCCAATTAGATTGTAAGCTCCTTGAGGGTAGGGACTGTTTTTTTCTCTTCTTTTGTATCTCCAGTGCTCAGCACAGTGATGAGCACATAGTAAGTGCTTAATAAATGTACACCGATTGATTATGTCATACAACCTTAACACTATCAAGTACTGTTACCACATCGAGGTAGGACAGTAGATAGAGCACGGAAACTGAGTGGTGAAGATCCGAGTTCAAATCCAGCCTCACTTACTAGCTGTGTAACCTTGGGCAAATTGCTTACCCTCTGTTTGCCTCAGTTTCCTCATATGTAAAATGGGGATAATAATAGCAACTACCTCCCAGGGTAGTTGTGAGATTAAAATGAGGTATCTGTCAAATGTTTGCAAACTTAAAAGCGCCGTAAATGTTATTATTATGATTACTTCTACTAATTTTGTACTACTCAGTATTATTATTATTACCACTACTACTGCAAATATTAAGTATTATCTCTGCTTAAAATAATATTACCATTAATTAGTATTTCCAGAAAGTAATAATACTTAGTATGAACGGTTCTAGAGTTCAAAGAATGTCAGAGCCAGAAGAGTCTTTGGTGATCAGTTAGTCCAATGCTCTTATTTTGCAGATGGGAAAACTGAGGCCCAGAGAGAGGAAAAGATTTGTAGCAAGTAAACGGCGGAGTCCCCTGACCTCCATCCCAGCGGCACAGGTCCAGCAGACAGACAGAACTAGATTCTGTTCTGCCCTCTGGCAGAAGATCATCCACTCACCGACAGAGTGTATTCAGTCTGCCTGATGCCCTCAATCACCATCCAGGGCTGGTCTTCCTTGAGCCGAGGCGGGCCCTCAAAGTTGGTGCGCCGATATTCTAGCACGTAGTGGTCAATCTTGCTGTCCTCATCTGGCATCCGCCACACCAGCGTCACACAGTTATCTGCCACCAGGGACTCTCCGAGGTCAATCTCTGGGGCACTAGGCACTGGAGAGGAGAAGGGGTGTCAGGGGTCAACCTCCCCATAGAATTTGTAGCCTGGCTCCTGCCAGCCGAGAAGTTTGGCCTTCTCCGGTTTCTACCATTTACTCCAGTCCTCCCCCCTGCCTCCCATAGACCCCAGGCTATATGCCAGTCCCCAGTACCACATCTCACCTGGTAGGAACTTTAGGGCCTGCAAGATGCGCCGCTCCTGGGCAAAGTCCACCATGAGGTGGCTCATGTTGTCGCTGACCTTCGCTTTCAGGGAGAGCCGGAATGCTGGGGCCATGGTCACACTGCAGGGGGGTAGGGCAGAGGGTCTGGGATCATCTGGAGGGTCTGGCACCCCAGGACCCACCAGGAACCATGGGTAGGGGAATTGGAGTGTTCTTTCTTCTTCCTCCAGGGAATCCTGTCCTCCTTTGGAGTTGGAAACCTTGAATTTTAGTCAGAGGACCTAACTAGAGTCTGAGCCTGTTTGCTGACTTTTGGTGTGATTTTGAGCAAGTCAATTAACCTAACAGTGATTCTGTTTTCTTCACTGTAAAATGAAGGCCTTTCAATAAGGGATGCTCAGGTGCCTTCCAAATTCTAAATCCTTTGGGTCCCACTAAACTCCCACCTCTCCTTTAGACTGAGACTGGCCTGGAGGTTGCAGGGTGAGGGGCCTTTCTTGAGATACCCAGTTGCAGAGTAGGTTGAACATCTTCCAATGGGCAGATCTACTAAGAATAGGGCAAGCTTACCTGTCCTTTATCTGTTTGGCAGCCTGGAAAAAGGAAGGAGAGGATAAGAGTCACACTTCAGAGATCACCTCATCCATCCATCCAACCCCTCATTTTATAGAGGGGAAACTGAGGCCCAGAAAGAAGATGGAATTTACCCAATGTGACCCAGTAAGTTAGACCAGAAGAATCTTTAGTAGGAAAGCTGTTGAAGCCTCAAACCCAGGCTTCCTGTTTCCCTGCCCAGGGCGCTTTCCACTAGAAAGGTGGGGAGGGAGAAAAGGAGAGAAGAGGGAAGAGACGAAGGAAATTCATAGGCTTTAAAGCTGAAAGCAAAGTCAGAGATCATCAGGTACAACTTGTTTCTTTTACAAATAAGGAAACTGAGGCCCAGAGGAGCTATGTGACTTGCCCAAAGTCACCCAGCTAGTAAGTAGCAGAGTCAGGATTCAAACCCAAGACTTCTGGTTTCAAATTCAGCCCTCTTTGCCCTACTCTAAAAATACATGGTATTTTATACCCTTTACCTATTAATACACAAATAAGACCCTTTAACTTTTATGTGAATTAATTATGTCTATGTCTTATCCCTCCAATCCAGATTGGTAAGGTCTTGAGGTCATAAGCTGCTCCTTTAAGGCCCAGCTCAGGCCTAGTCGTCTTCTTCTTCTTCAGAGGCTTTCCCTGACTTCCCCTCCCCCTCCCTGGGGTCCCCAGGCCTGGGCTTGACCTCTCTTGGGACTATGCCACATGGCTGTGAATGACGTTACACTACAGTCTCCAAAGACGTAAAAGAAATAATGCACAAAGGCAGGGGACAGGTGCATTGTGAGGGAGAGCAGGTGGTGATGATTAAGGAAATTAGAAGAAGAATCAGGACGAACAGAGAAATAATGTAGGAACAAGGAAATAGAGACAGGCGCTTCAGTAATAGCTAGAGGTGAGAGGCTCCACGTGCATCTTTACAATCTCAAGAGAATCAGGGAAGGCTCCCAGCACCATTAGGAGGACCCCTTCTACTGAGCCTATGGGAGACCATGAACAATAATGGCACAGGATGGAGAGGTATACACGGGCTGTGATCTGTACTGGTAGACGCTAATCAGATCCCAGATCCATGTGAGTAGGAACTAAATCATGTTATCATTTGTATCACAGGGAGGGGGGTGAGAGAGGGTGTGTGTGTGTGTGTGTGTGTGTGTGTGGTGTGTGTGTGTGTGTGTGTCTGTCTGTCTGTCTGTCTTTGACTAGCAGTTCCTTAAGGGTCTAGGCCTTGTTTTTCATCTATGTATCCATAGCACTGGGTACAGGGCCCTGCACACAGCAGACACTTTAAAAATGTTTGACTCAATCCAACAAGCATTTATTAAGTGCCTACTGTATACAGCACACGTTGTTAGGTGCTAAGAGATACAAAAATGTATAAAACTCCCTCATGGAGATCACAAGGGAGCATAGAAGGAAGAAATAATTTTCTTTGCGTTATTTTTTGTTTGCTTATTCATGTTCCTGTTGTATCCTCCAGTAGAATTTGCACCCTTGGAGGACAGGAGATGATTTTGCCTTTCTCTTGCTGGCATCTGGTGAACAGTAAGAGCTGATTAAGTGCTTGTTGGAGGAATCGAAGAAAACCACAATTCCCATGTCTATGTGTTTTATAAAGAGCTTTCCTCAGAATAGTGCTGTGGGGACAGTAGATACTGTTACTCCCATTTTACAGATGAGGAAATGGAGGGGAAGTGATTTACTCAAAGTCACCCCGGTAGGAAGTTCCAGTACCAGGCCTCAAATCCAGGCCTTCCAACTCCAGGGTCCCTTTCCCTAACTCATGCTGACAAAGGGAACAGGGTCTGGTAGGAGGTTCTGTACAGCTTCAATCCCTGGACTGAAGTCACAGATATAGAGCCGAAAGGGATCTCAGAGGCCTTCTAGATCAACACCATCATTTTACAGTCCTCTCCCAATTCTCCCAGGGTCTCCAAATCTGCCTCCTGGAGCCACCAACCCAGAGATTACTTCTATTCAATAAATTTGTATGTTTTATGAATGCTGGGAGGCCTGGGTGTGAATCCTAGCTCAGATAGTCTGGTTGTGTGAACTTGGCTTAGCCACTTCCCCCGTTTCAGCCTCAGTTTCTTTACCTCTAAATTGGGAACAGTAACTTATACACCCTATGTCTGGGATTGAGAGGAAAGCGTTTAAAATGCCAAGGAAAGGCTATGATTAAATACTTGCCCATGTATACAGGGCAGCTAGGTGGTGCATTGGATAGAGAGCTGGGCCTGGAGTCAGGAAAACTCATCTTCATGAATTCAAATCTAGCCTTGCATCCTTACTAACGATGTGACCCTGGGCAAGTCACTTAACTCTGTTTGCCCCAGTTTCCTCATCTGCAAAATGAACCAGAGAAGCAAACAGCAAACCACTCCAGTATCTCTGCCAAGAAAACCCCAAATGGGTTCACAGAGAGTCAGACCAGCCTGAAATGACTCAACAATCGTGGATGTACAGCCCTTTGCAAACCTGAAAGCACTTTCTTAATGTCAGCTGCTGATGCTATTGTTTCCATCATTGTTACTGCCTGTACAAGGCTTGGTCCCTAGCCTTCTCATCGGGCAGCCCCACCCACCAACACTCTCCCCATCTAACTGCAATCACTGGTCCCAAACCTGCAGGAAATCCTGGTTGTCTGCTCCCTGCAGCGTCTGGTTGGCTGTTTCCAGAAGTTCCTCAGAGCTCTCCAGAGCCTTGGTGCAGGCTGCCAGCTGGTTCTGAGGGGAAGAGATGAGGGAGGAGAGGCAATGTCAGTCAGGCAAACCCTGCCGTGTCCCCGTGCTCACGGCCAGCTCTGTGCTGCGGCCGAGGAGACACAGAGATGGAGAAGGGGCCAAGCAAAGGGACCTCACAGCTTTGGGGTCCACTGAGCAGGACAGCCAGGAAGAGAGGGGAGCAGAGGAAGCTTTTCTTTAAGGTTTTGCTCAAGGGTGCAAAGGTAGCCCTTTCTGAACCCCCCAGCTACGAACGCCTTGCTCCCCAAATTCTCTCATATCCCTTTTTTTTTGCATTTCTTTACACATATATTATATCCCCACCCTGACAAGCCTGTATACTCTGCAAAGGCAAGAATGATTCCACTTTCTTCTTTGTATGCCCAGTACTTGGCATGTAGTAGGTATTTAATAAATGTTCACTGATGGAAGGCCTACAGAAATAAAGTGAACCAATTTCTACATTTCACAGATAAGGAAACTGAGGCCTGCAGAGGTTAACTTGCCCAGGTCACACAGTAAGTGGCAGAGTCAAGATTTACAGAATCACAAAATCTCAGTGGTGTATGGAATTTCAGAGGTCCATAGCTGAAAAGAAATCCTGTTCTCAAGGTCTCTAAAAAGTGGTCATCCACAATCTGCTTGAAGACCACCATGAAGGGGGCCTTTTCCCAAGCTAGCACCTTGTACTTGGGACACTTATTATTAAGAAATTTCCTTATATAAAGCTTAACTTTGCCTCTCTGCAACCCGCCCCATGGATCTTTGTTCTGCACCACCACCATTCTCCCCCTTCTCCCCCCCCCAACTCTAGGGCCAAGCAGAATAAATCTAGTCTCTCTTCTAAGTGACACAGCTCCCATACCTGAAGAAAGCTATCCTTTATCTCACCTTCTTTAGGCTAAACATCCCAGGTTCTTTCATCTGATCCTTCCACTGCTTGGGGGGGGGGATTTTAATTCCCCTCACTATCAGAGTCAGCTTCCTCTAAATTCACTCCAGCTTATTAGTGACCCTAGACTAAACATAATTCTCCAAACAGGGCCTGAGGAGAACACAGGACAGTGAGACTATCACCTCCCTTACTCTGGATGCTATGTCTTGTTAATACAACTCAAGATGACACCAAGTTTCTCTGGTTGCCATTGATATTGATCTTGGGGTCCACTAGAACCCTTAAATCTTTTTCAGATAAACTTTTCAAAAGACACCTCCCCTATGTTGTGCTTGTACAGTTGATTTTCTTAACCTAAATGAAAGATTTACATTCATCATTTCAGATTTGGCACATCATTCTGCCCCTTTGAGGTCCTGACCCTGTCATCAACTTGTTAGCTATCTGTCCCACTTTCACAGGTCATCTGCAAATTTGGTAAGCACATCATCCATGCCTATTTATTTGAACTCAAGTCCTCAGACTATGGCCAATGCTATTCATATAACACTGTGCTACTTGAGCTAGACGTTAAAGGATGGGTGGAATTTGGAGATGGGGCCAAGGAAGGACACTTTAGGCAATTAACACATTATAAGGCCACAGAGGAGTAATGGGTGGCTGCTATAGAGAAAGATTTCAGCTCAATATAAGGAAAAACTTCTAACAATTAGAGCATCCCAAGAGAAGAATGGACTCTTTCAGGAGGGTTCAGTTCTAGAAGTCTGTTACTATGGGTCTGAATGCTGTAGAGGTGACTCCTGGTACAGGTCAGATAGGATAATGTCTCAGGTCCCTTCCAGCTAACAGAGCCTTGTGATTGAACTGGGCCTTAAAAGGACAGAGAAGAATTGAAGGCAGCAAAGTCAGTCTTTATAGGATCATAAATTTAAAGCTGGAGGAGACGTTACAGGCCATCTATTTCACTCACACCCATTCTATAGATGAGGAAACTGAGGACCAGAGGGAAGAAGTAATTTTTTCAAGGTCACCCAGGAAGTAAGTGGTAAAGCTGTGATTCAAACCCAGGCCCTTCCTACTCCAAACCCAGCATTCTTTCCATTATAAGTATACTGGCTGTTCTGGGGAAAGAGAAAAAAGGAAAGAGAAAAGCCAGACCAGGATGGAAGGAAAAGGGAGCAAGGGAAAGAGAAGACTAAAAAAGGGAGATGGGGGAAGGGTATAAAGGGCTGCAAATGCCAGGCTGCTGACATTGTACTCCCATTGTCAGCAGGAAGAGCTTCCTGAGCAGGGGGAGAATGTCAGCAGAGCTGCTCATTAGGCAGGCTAATCTAGTAGTCTGACATGGGGTGCTGAGGGAGTTGGGAAAGCTCTATGGAAGAGGTACTGCTTGAGTTCAGATTTAAAGGAAGGGTAGAATTCAGATGGGGAAAGACTAGAGAAGAAATAGATTAGAACACAGCTGAGACTCAAGTCAAGAGAGGTCTGTACTGCAGTCCCACCTCTGCCTTTTGCTGGCTCTGTGAACGTGGGCAAGTCCCTTCATTTCTCCGAGCCTCAGTTTCCTCTTCTGTGAAATAAGATAATAATACCTGTAATCACTTATCTCACATGGTTGTTGTGAGGACCAAATGAGAATGTAGGTAAGGCCAGCTCCAGAGTAGCATAAACAAAGAATCCCCTGAAATGGATGCATTATTCAAATCCACATTGCATATTTCCACTGGGCTTGAGACGGCAACTCAAGAATATGGATTAAATTGATTTCAGGACCACAGGCTGGAATCAGTGACTAATTTTACATTATTATAATTTCAAATAGTACGAATTAGAATAAAGAGGATTCCTCATTTGCATTAATCTGGACCTAGCTAGAAAACACTAACATTCAAATGGTATATAAATGTCAGTTATCACTAGAATACTGGTACAATGGTCCAAGCTAGTGGCAGATGAAGTTTTAGCCTCAGGTGGAATCCTAGGAGCAGAAGTTTAGAGTCGGAAAAGACCTAGTAGGCAGTTAGCCCAACCACCTCATTTTAGAGATGAAGAAACAGGCTCAGAAAGGAAAAGTGACTTGTTTAAGGTCACACACTGCCCCAGAGAAGGAAAAGAGGCTTCTAAGGGGGAGAGACATTTTCAAAGGTCTATTGGAAGGAAAGGACTAGGGTTGGATTAGGGAGCCCAGTAAAGCCTCCTAGAGTCTCTTCAAACCTTGCACCCTCTTCTCTTAGATCTAGGAAGTTTTCTTTCAGAAAGAACAGACTCACCTGGAGTTCATAGATTCGGCTAGCTCGGTCCTGTTTGATCTTCATCAACATGCCCTCCTTCAGCTCATCCAGCAGGGAGAACAGTGACTGGAACTCGATCTCCAAGTCCTCTTGGACCTTGTTGGAGTTGGCCTAACAGAGGAATGTTTAGAAGCTTAGATCAGTAAATATCAGAGCTGAAGGGCCCTTAGAACAAAGACCATAGGATGGATGAATGTTGGAGCTGGAAGGGCCCTTGGAACATAGCAGGGGAGGGGAAACTGTGGCCTTCTAGGTCCTTGGGTGCAGCCTTTTGACTGAGTCCAAGTTTTACAGAACAAATCCTTTTATTAAGGGGATTTGTTCTGTGAAGTTTGGATTCAGTCAAAGAGCTGAACTTGAGGACCTAGAGGGCCACATGTGGCTTTGAGGCTGAAGGCTCCCCACCCCGACATAGACCATAGAATGTTATAGCTGGGAGGACACTTAGAACACAGAATGTCGAGGAGGAACCTTCAAACATACAAAGTGGGATCTGGGAAAGACTTTAGAACATAGAATTTCAACTGCTCCCAGGTGGCTGACCCATACCCCACCTGCCTTTCCCCCCCCATCTCATCTCCTCCTACCTCCACATTCAGCAGCATCTGTTTCAGAGCATAAATGAAGTTCTGTATCTCTTCATTCTTCACTGCCAGAGTTGTGATGATCTTCTTCAGTGCTTCCTGTGCCAACACCCAAGACACAATGTCCCATCCTCACCTGAAGTCTATCTAATCTTTCCCAGACCAAATGGCCCCCAATATCCTCTAGGACCTCCATGTTCCAAGACCCAGGGGTTCAAGGAAGGCACAGGAATTGTGGGAACTGGACTTAGCTGGGAAAGAGCCTGGATGGGGATGCTAACAGGGGTGAAGAGAGGAGCCAGAGGAAGGAACAGCTTAGAAAGGCAACAGACTGGGTGTATGTGAAGGGGGGGGGCGAGTAGGGTGAGGAGAGGAATAGCTGGGGCTAAGTGAGGGTAAGGGAGAAAGGGAGTAGCCCGGGGGCTGACAACCTGTACAAGGGACTAATCCCCAGGCTGAGGGAGCTCCCTCCCCTCCCAGTCCAGCTTCTAGGCTGCAGCAGCAATGCAGGTCCTCAGCATGGTGGGCGGGACTGGGCTGCCCCGACTCTGCTCCAGGCCAGGTGGCGAGGGGACCCGTGGGTCCATTCCTAGAAGGGGCTCCTCCCCACCAGCCTTCGTGAACCGTTGCCGGCTATTGTCGACCCCGCAACCCCACATCCCATGCCGGACTCCAGGCCCGCCTGAGCCAGGGAGGGGCCAGAGAGTAGACTGCTGCAGCACCTGGTGCAGCGCGCGCCCCGCCCCGTCTTCCATCTCCACCCCCACACTCACCCTCACCCTCACCCCGGCATTCGCCCCTACCTTCTGATCCCCCATGGCGCCCGTCCCAGGATGCTTACAGGAGCCCCGGTGCGCCCCGCGCAGCCGCAGCCGCAGCCGCCGCCGCGCGCCCCTAGGCACAAAGGTGCCCAGAACCCATCGCCCAGCCTGGGACTTCGGTCCTCTCCCACCCCCAGTCTCGCCGCTCCATCACCGCCTCTACGGCGCAGGCGTATAGGCCGAGGCATCTTGGGAAATGTAGTCCAGGATTGGGGAGGGGACCCAGGCTCGTGAAAGTGTAAGGGAATTTAGAACCTAGAATATAAAATGTCAGAGCAAGGAGGGGTCCTGGAACCGAATATCAGAGCTGGGAAGGAACTTAGAATATAGGACACAATCTGACTCCAACTTACCTTTCCGGACTTATTTCGTCTTATTCCTCTGCTTTCACGCTACATTCCATCATTCTGGCCTGACTTACTAGATCTTCCCTAAACTAGATGTTCCTTCCTTCTTTCTCTGAAAAGGCTCTCACTTATGCCTGGGATGCACTTCCTACTCAGCTCCACACCTTAGGATCCTTAGCTTCCTTCAAAGCTCACCTCAGATGCCATTTCCTCTGCTAAACCTTACCTGACTTCTCCCACTACCTCCACCATACTCCTTCCAGTTACTACTGCCCTCTCCCTTCTCAGATTACCTCCTATGTAATTATCCTACACGCTGCATTCTCCCAGTAGAATGTAAGTAAGGTTCTTGAGGTCAGGTTCTATTTTGGTTCTGTCTTTATGTCCCCAGCACCTAGAACAGTGCCTTACATATAATATGACCTCAATGGTTTTTTGTTTGTTTTTGTTTTTTAAGTTGAATTCAACAGGTCATAGAATTTCAAACGTGGAAGAACCTAGACATAGGTGATCAAAGCCGGAAGGGACATAGAGCATAGAACCCAGACCATCAGAGTTAGAAGGGTTCTTAGAATGTTGGTGCTGGGAAGAACTTTAAGACATAGAATGGCAGAGCTCAGGGGGTTCTTAGAGATCAAAGGATAGTAGATCATAGATTTAGTGCTGGAAGGGAGTTTAGAGATCATGTAGTCAGGGAGGGGAGATAGTTTTCAAAATGTAGTGGGGATGACTTCCTTTCAGGGCATCTGAGCCGTCAAAGCTATTTTCCTAGTAATACTAAGATGTTTTTATTTCTAAAATGGTAACTATGGATAGCTGTAGCCCACATCAACAATAGCTGTTCGGGGAGGGCATCCTCAAAAATTTTTAAGAGATTTAAAAAGTTTTTAAACTGCTGATCTAGTTCAGCCTCCTTGTTTTGCAGATGGGAGAAATAAGGAGGAAGGCAGAAGACACCCTACCAGCTATTAGGTCTCCAGTGTCCTAGGGAAGGTTATTTTCAATGGTCTTCTTGTTCCTCCTCATACATGACATTATACTCCCCATTTCTTTGCCTTTGCATAGGCATCCTGTCCTTACCACTGCCTGTTCGAATTCCTAGCTTCCTTCAGAACTCAGCTGAAGCTCCACCTTTTTTCCTAGGCCTCCCCAGCAACACTCACTATTGCCTTGTATTTAAGTTGTTTGTTTGTTTGTTTGTTTTGATTTGTTTTGCAGTCATGTCCAACCCTTCATGACCTCAATTGGAGTTTTCTTGCCAAAGATACCGGAGTGGTTTGCCATTTTCTTCTCCAGCTCATTTTACAGATGAAGAAACTGAGGCACACAGGATTAAGTGACTTACCCAGTATCACACAACTAAGGCTGTATTTGAACTCAGGTCTTCATAACTCCAGGCCCTGGGCTGTATCCACTGGGCCACCTAGCTGCCCTGTCTTGTATTTAATTTGTATTTTTCAGTAAGTCAGTCATGTCCAACTTTTCATGACCCTGAAGACCATACCGTTCATAATGTTTTCTTGGCAAAGATACTGGAGAGGTGCAGTGGATTTAGGCAGACAGACGTTAAATGACTTGCTATGTTAAGTCACACAGTTAGTAAGTGTCTAAGGCCTAATGTGAACTCAGGTCTTTCTGGTTCTAGGCCCAGGGATCTATCCACTGAGCAACCTAGCTGCCTCCTATTTAATTTGTATATATTTTGTATATATTTATGTTTGTATTCATATTGTTTCCTCTGATACAATGTACAGACAGAGACTGTTTCTTTTTTATCTTTGTATTCCTAACACAGAGTTCGGTACATAAGTTCTTAATCAATACTTATTGGTTGATTTGACTAATTGATTGATTAAACTATTGAAGGGCAGTTCTGACTTTTCCAAATCTACAACCATTGTTTCTTACACATTGGCTCAAAGCAAGTCACTCACTCCTACCTCAGTTCCCCAATTTATACAAAGAGATAGTTGGATTGGTTGATATTGAAGGGAGTTTTTACTTCTGACCTATATTTAAGGACTCATTTAATTTAAAAAATAGATCTTAAGTGATTTTTATTTTGTTTTTATGTTGCCTAGATTTCCCCCTTCATCTTTCCCACCACCACCACCTCAAGTCATCCCTTATAACAAAGATTTTTTAAAGAGGATGAAGAGAAAGAAAAGTAACAAAGCAACTGAATACATAGAAAAAAAATCTGATGTCATATGCAATGTTCCATACCCAAGGTCCATCCCTCTCTCAAGCTCTTCAAATGAGGAGGAAGGCATCTTTTGATAGTTCTTCTTTGGCGCCAACCTTGTCCTTTATTCTTTCCAAACATTAATCTTTCTATCGTTTATGGTGATTGTTTAATTCATTGACATTTTTATGATTGTTGTTTTCCTTACTCTGCTTACTTCACTTTGCTTCACATAGTCTTTCCATGCTTCTCTGTATACATCATCAATAATAAATCAATAAACTATGGATTTTATTAAGTGATAAAAGACAGACATTTCCTGCCCTCAAGGAGTTTACAATCTAGTGGGGAAAGATAACACAGAAAAAGGAAACTGAAAAGGGTGGAGAGGAGGTAGAAAACTCAGAAAAGTCCATCTAGATAAGAAACAAGATACTCTTAGCTGAGTTCCCTCCTTAAATAGAGGTTTGGGGGTTCATGGCTCTACTCTCTTTAATCAGAGGGAAGGAGAGTGTTGATGAGAGAGTACCGAGGCTGAGGGGATCATGTTTGCTGTTGCCTTTTGTCACCTTTACAAATTTGCGGAGTGTGAGGCTCAGAGTTGTTTTGATTTTCATCAATCTTATTAATGATTTGGAATGTTCTATAATGTGGTATTAAGAGCTCACAATTCTTCCTTTAAAAACTATTCGTATCATACAAATGGGAAAAGGACCCACCTGTACAAAAATATTTATAGCAGCTCTTTTTGTGGTGGCAAAGAATTGGAAATTGAGGGGATGCCCATCAATTGAGGAATGGCTGAACAAATTGTGGTATATGAATGTAGTGGAATACTATTGTGCTATAAGAAATGATGAACAGGCTGACTTCAGAAAAACCTAGTGACCAGAACCAAGAGAATGTTGTACACAGTAATAGCCACATTGCGCAATGACTAATATTGATAAACTTAACCCTTCCCAGCAATACAAGGATCTAAGACATCTCCAAAGACCTCATGATGGAAAATGCTACCCACATCCAAAGAAAGAACTATGGAGTTTGAATGCAGATTGAAGCGTATTATTTGCTACTTTTTTTCTCTTCTGTTGAGTTTTGTTTCCTCTTTCTTGTGATTCCTCCTATTGGTTCTATTTCTTCCTTACAACATGACTAATGTGAAAATATGTTTAATAGGAATGTAAATGTATAGCCTATATCAGATTGTCTTAGAGAGGGTGGTGGGGAGGAAGGGGGAGAAAAATTTTAAACTCAAAAGCGTATGGAAGTGATTGTTGATAAATCAAAATAAATTAATTAAAAAAAACTATTCATACCTCCTGACTACTTCTCTATTGGGGAATAGCTTTTGGTTGTATATATTTCTGGTAGTCATCTGTGTATCTTGGATATCGAACCTTTATCAGAGATATTTGATATAGAGATTTCCACCCCCCCTCCTCATCCACTTTTTCCCTTCTTATCCTAGATGCATTATTTTTGTTTCTATGAAAGCATTTCAATTTCACATAATCAAAATTACCTGTTTTGTATTTTGTTATCACTTCTATACCTGGTTTGGTTAAGAATTCATCTTCTACCCACAGGTGTAAAAGTAAATGAAGTGTTTCTCTTCTAATTGAATTTATAGTGGAATATGGTATAAAATATTAGACTAAGCCTAATTTCTGCCAATCTCATTTCCAGTTTTTGCCATTACCAGATAAGAGTCCTTCTAACTTATAGTGCATTAGAAAGAGACCTGGACATGGAGTCAAAATATCTGAATTTGAATCTGTCAGGATCCCTGTAAGTAAGGTGAATTTCACTATGTGTAAAGTGGATTTTTTGTCATTCTTTCTAAAAGTTTTCTTCCCAGGATCCACAGCCATAACAATTTCTACTTCCCAGGTGTTATATATGAGTTCTCATGATCACAGTTCAAAGCAGTTTCTACCACTCTTGCACGGTAGATATGGGGATGAAGTGATGTAAAATTGTGAGGCTATCACTGGCAATATGCCTTCTTTGTTGCCCTATAAAGCAAGTGGGTACTGGTCAGTGACTGGGGACCCCCATAGGGGTGAATGTACAGGCTGAATGCTGCGCATGCCTTGATGGACCCCCATCAAGGCTTGGGAGGGGGAATCTGTGTGTTTGCCTCAACTGGCCCCCATTGAGGCTTGAGGGAAGATTTAGGGGAATGCACAAGTTCTGCTGGTCTCAACTGATCCCATCGAGAAGAGGGGCAGTTGCTCCCCCCCATTCACACCGGCCCCTTTCAGAAGGGTTGTTAGGGAAGGCTATGGGAGCTGGAGCTCCCATTATCAGCAAATTCCCTTTGAGAAGACTAGACTAGAATAAACTAAGTTTATTTAACCCCTTATTATGACTCCATTCCTGTCTTTACATCTGACCGGATCAAAATCGAACCTGCTAGTGAGAGAGGTGCTAGAAGCCCTTCTGTGTCTGTTTCCTAAGAAATGGTGTAGTCGATGTGTTTACTTGTTCAACAATCCCCATGCCAAGACCACCCCTCTCTTTTTACTATTAGGAGAGACCCTGTTTTCCAGAGTTCAGGCCCAGCAAGCAAACTCTGCCCTGGGTTTGGCATAACAGCAATCCTTTGTTGCACACCCCCCTGGAAGAACTTGGCTGAAGCAAAATCCTAGAATTGTTTCACCTCAGTACCAGGTAGTCTCTGAGCTCAGACAGGTACCTGTAGCACCGATGTTCCGGTCATGAGGCCCTGCTATGAATCAAACTTGCCTCACTGTTGCTGTTACCCCTCATTGTCAGGGCTACAGCTCACTGCGTAGCCACTAGTACGTATATTGAGATTTGCCCACGCTAAAGTGGATCTCTTATTGAGAGAGGGCTCCTAGCACATGAGTCTAGCTCTCCTCCTGCAACTGAATAAAGAAAGCTTTTGTCTTGTGACCACTATTAGCTCTTTGGTTTTAGTTTATTTTTCGGAGTTGACTGTGGTTGAGATCATCTGTTGAGCTCTTTGTTATTTTCAGAGTTAACAGCATTGCATAACCTGTGACTTTGATTATTTGTTTTGTGTTGACAGATCTCTGCTACTTACCGCTTGTACAAACTTGGAGGGTGATTTCTACTCTTTGAATCTTATTTTCCCATACATAATAAGATGGGATTCTTAACCTGAGGCCCATGAACTTTTTTTTTAAACTATGTTGATAATTATATTTCAAGATAATTGGTTTCCTTGGTAATCCTCTGTATTTTATCTTACACATTTAAAAACACGATTCTGAGAAGGGGTCCCATAGGCTTCACTGCACTACCAAATAGGTATAGAACACACACAAAAATTATTAAGAGCTCCAGAGTTAGCTGATCTCTGAGGTTCCTTCCAGGACTGAGATTCTGACTTCCCAGAGGAACAGGGCTAGGGGAAGATGGGCTGTGGGGTAAAGGGGACTTTAAGGCCAAGGGGGTATGGAGGCCTTGGTCTGGAGCAGAATGAAGTGAGGACTGGATTTGGAATCAGGAGGCTTGGCTTTGAATCTCAACTCAGCCACTAATGGGTAAGTTGCTTTTTCTCTTTGGATTTCAGGTGCCCCATCTGCAAAATGAAAGCTGTTTTCTCAGGCAGAGCCCTTCCCAGCTGGGTTGTAAGGCCTCTTGAAACTCTGGTTTGGGGGAGGACCACCTGTTCTTTGAAGCCTCTCAGGAGACAGACCTCACTGCAGCTGGTGCTGCTGCTGCTTCTCATAAGCAGAGATCAGCCTGTGGTTGATGCTTATGAAGCTGGGACTAAGTGTCGTAGCTCTCTGCCTGGAAATCTCCCCACCACTGCTGGTTTACAGGGTCTCATGGTCTACTGTGAAACTCATACTACTAGGCTGACTCGGAGTCAGGAAGACCTAGATTAAAATTTCACCTCTGTTCAAACTCCCAGGGCTGTGGTGAGGATCAAATGAGAAACCTAAATGGTGTTGCGCATCTTAAAAGACTTGCATAGGTTGTCCTAAAAGTCTTAGTGCAGTTTTAAGCTTAAAACTTAAGTTTTAATGTTAGCTATACATTAGATTGAGCTTCTTCAGAGCAGAAACTTTTTTTGGGGGGGGACCTTTCTTTGCATCTCTAGCACTTAGCACAGGGCCTGGAACCTAGTATGGGCTTAATATACGCTTTTGATTGGCTGACTGACCCTTATGAGCAAGCAGTCTGATTATGATCTTTAAACCACTTTAACCTCTCAGATTTCAGCTTACCCAGTCGTAAGACAGAGATAATTATACTGGTAATAAGTACCCCACTCAACACCCCCACTACGTTGGGGTTGTTGTGAGGCTTAGTCAGCCAATAAACATTTATTAAGCCCCTACTATGTGCCAGGCACTGTGCTAAGCACTGGGAATAAAAATGTGAAGAAAAACAAAGACAATCCCTGCTCTCAAGGAATTTATAATCTAATGGGAAAGACAACATACAAAAAGGAAGCTGAAAGCTGGGGGTGGGGGGAAGAGAGGGAAGAACTTGCCCCAAGGGTATGATGTAAAGCAGTGTAATGTTGGGAAATGGGGAGAAGAACTGTGTCAATCCTCCTTTTTAAACAGAGGCCCTGGAGCCCAGGGCCCTGCCCTCCATTCGGAGGGTCCAGTCAGAGCCAGAGAGCACTGATGAGACGTGAAGACCAGGCAGATTCAACCTTGCAATTTAATGTGATTTCCAAGTAATGAGTTTCCTGGGAAAGAAAGACTTGATGGAGAGGCTCAAACAAATCTAAAAGCAATGGGGCCATGTGGGATCAAAAGAGAAAATGTATGGAAAGTGATTTACAAGCATGTCATTTACTGTTATGTTCGATGTGATTCCTGCCCGAAGAGCCTATGATTCTACAAAGTGCTTATGAACCTTCTCCAGGTACCTACGGTGTATCTGTACTGTCTTGCTTATAGCAATGGAAAGACATTTTTCAGATTTCAGTTGAAAGAATTTTTTTAACCATCAGGACAGTCCCATAGTGGAAAAGGCTGCTTTGGTGGCAGTGAGCAACCTGTTTCTGGATATGTCCAAGCAGAGACTGCATGATTTCCCTTCCTACCCCATTCAGGATGCCTGTAGAGGGGATTCCTTCACAGAGTGGCAGATTGAATTAGCACCAAGCCTAGAGTCAGGAGGACCTGAGTTCAAATACAGCCTCAGACATTTACCAGCTGTATGACCCTGGAAAAGTCAAATAACTCTGCCTCAGTTTCTTCATCAGGAAAAATGATTTAAAGAAAGAAATGGCAAACCACTCATGTTGGTTGGTTGTCCTTCATTCTCAAAGAGGATCAAAATGACACCAGTATGTTGGAGTGAATGCACAGTGTGTCCAGCTGTGGCTGACCAGTGTGAACTTGGAAGGCTCTACCACAGCTCAGGCACAAATAGTCCACGTGAGTATTTGGAGTGCAGATGTCTCTAAATTTGCACATCTCATGTTTCTTTTCAGCTACTACAATTCTGCGTTCTTTGATGCGGGCATGTCGTGCTGGGCAGTCCTTTGCCAGTATCTCATCATGCAATTGATTCTAATGTTCTTCAGAGAGGGAGGAGCGGATACTGTGGCAGGAAATGGTATCTTTCAGATTGGTCATATCTAGAGAACATATGGGTTAAAAGAGGTGAAGAGGGGTGGAGGAGTAGAGCTACCCTGAGAAACACACTGGCCTTTATAAGCAGAAAGGAAGAGTGGAGCTGATTGAAGGTAGGAAGGAGCCTGAGGGAGAAGAAGTGATGGGATATCCCTTATGGACCTTTTCCTCCTGATGCTGTCTGGGGGTAAGTACCCAAGTCCAAGGCCTCCACCTACTAGGAGGCTCACTTATACCTCAGTCTCCCTGTGTCACCCAAGAGACCATGACCCTCCAGTGTCTCCTGATAGCTGAGGCTCTTGTCCTCTCAGACCATGGGGATCTCAAAGAGTCTTGAAGTAGCCCTCCTCTCTCCTGCTCTTCCTCTAAAATTTATCTGTAAGGAGGGTACCAAGTTCCTAGCTAACTGTCCACTGTTTGAATTTATGGGGACAATATTTCAGACTCTTAATAGGGATGAAGAAACTCCTGAACTATAAAATATAGAACATTAGTGCTGGAAAGACTCTTGGAACATAGAAAACAGAATGTCCAAAATAGAAAAAGAAAGAAAAGCTGGATGGGAATAGTAGGAGCTGGAGAAATTTTGAACATAGTGTCAGATCTGATAAGGACCTTAGAATGTAGGCTGTTGGGAGAGACTGAGGATTAAATGAGTGCTAATGCCCATGATTAGAAGTCAGGAGACCTGGGTTCTAGTCCCAGCTCTGACTCTATAAGGTTTCTGAAGTCCCTTGGGTCTCTCAGATTCTGTGGTCAGAGAAGGCTGTCTAGAAGAATTGAGCCTTGCCTTCATGTTCCTTTTCCTCTTCTCCTGCTTGTCCCCCCAGCATCAACCCTGACAGGAAAGACTGATATGATGGTGCAGCAGGAGCCACAAGTCCTGGAGGTGGGCCTGGGTGATAAAGTGAACATGACATGCAATGTCACCCAGGCCATAGGGCAGCAATTCCGAGTAAAGTGGAAGAAGGATGGCAAGGAACTGTGCCGTCCATACCCATCAGTTGGAACTCCAGCCAAGTTACGTGGGGATCCAAAGAAAAGTTAATCTGGATCCCAGAAAATACCATCATCCTGAGTCTAGATGATGTGAATGCTAATGACAGCGGGCACTATGTGTGCTACGTGACAGTGGACATCCCAACGCTTAAGAGAGCTGAAGGCAATGGGACATATCTCATAGTCTCAGGTATGGGAGAGGGGGCGGGAGGGGAGGTAGAGGAGGAGTGCAGGGTCATCTCCACAATCCAGGTGATCATGATCATGACTTAGATCTCATCATCACCCTAAACTGTGGTACCTCCATGACGCCAGACTCTGAAATTCCTTTCCTGTCCTTCTCTTTCCCCCTCACTCTTCAAGCACCTATTCTTTGTCTTCACAGCTACTATTAGTCCCTCTGTCTTACTGTCCTCTCCCTGTCCATCATTCTTGCTCTGACCTTACTTTCCTTCCTTCATAGTCTCAACTCTTTCATTGACCAAGGATCACTGCTCTCTGTCCTTGAATCCCATGTCATCTTTTTCTATCTCCACTTCAGTATTAACAGACCTCAACTTTCAGCTGCCCCTCCTCCCTCATCTACTTTATTGCCCATTCTTGTTGATTCAATCCAAGGCTGTGCTGGAGACAGCTTGATCTGGCTCCAGAGAGCTCTTTTTTAAAAATTTCTTATCAACGTATTTTGATTTATCAACAATCACTTCCATAAGCTTTTGATTTTTAAATTTTTCTCCCCCTCCCTCCCTAAGATGGTGCACAATCTGGTATAGGCTATACATGTACATTTCTATTAAACACATTTTCATATTAGTCATGTTGTAAGGAAGAATTAGAACCAATAGGAGGAACCACAAGAAAGAGGAAACAAAACAAAACAGAAGAAAAAAATAGCAAATAGTATGCTTTGATCTGCATTCAAACGCTATAGTTCTTTCTTTGGATGTGGATAGCATTTTCCATCATGAGACCTTTGAAGATGTCTTATATCTTTGCATTGCTGAGAAGGGCTAAGTCTATCAATGTTAGTCACTGCACAACATGGCTGTTACTGTGTACAACATTCTCTTGGTTCTGCTCACTTCACTCAGCAACAGTCCATGCAAGTCTTTCCAGGTTTTTCTGAAGTCCACCTGATCATCATTTCTTATAGCACAACAGTATTCCATTACATTCATATACCACAACTTGTTCAGCCATTCCCCAAGTGATGGGCATCCCCCTCAATTTCCAATTCTTTGCCACCACAAAAAGAGCTGCTACAAATATTTTTGTACATGTGAGTCCTTTTCCCATTTGTATGATCTCTTTGGGATACAGTCCTAGAAGTACTATTGCTAGGTCAAAGGGTATGCACATTGTTATACCCTTTGGGGATAGTTCCAAATTGCTCTTCAAAATGGTTGGATCATTTCACAACTCCACCAACAATGAATGCATTAGTGTTCCAATTTTCCTACATCTTCTCCAACATTTATCATTTTCCTGTTTTGTCATGTTGGCCAGTCTGATAGATGTGATGTGGTACCTCAGAGTTGTTTTGATTTGCACTTCTCTAATCAATAGTGATTTAGAGCATTTTTTCATATGAGTATAGATGGTTTTAATTTCTTCATCTGAGAACTGCCTGTTCATATCCTTTGACCATTTATCAATTGGGGAATGACTTGTATTCTTATAAATTTGACGTAATTCTCTATATATTTTAGAAATGAGGCCCTTATCAGAGACACTGGTTGTAAAAATTCTTTCCCAATTTTCTACTTTCCTTCTAATCTTGGTGGCATTGGCTTTGTTTGTGCAAAAACTTCAATTTAATGTAATCAAAATTATCCATTTTACATTTTGTAATGCTTTCTATCTCCTGTTTGGTCATGAATTCTTCTGTTCTCCATAAATCTGGTAGGTAAACTATTCCTTGCTCTCCCAGTTTGCTTATAGTATCAGCCTTTACATCTAACTCATGAACCCATTTTGACTTTATTTTGGTATATGGTGTGAGATGTTGGTCTATGCCTAGTTTCTGCCATACTCTTTTCCAGTTTTCCCAGAGAAGCTTTTGTCAAATAGTGAGTTCTTATCCCAGAAGCTGGGATCTTTGAGTTTATATAGCTAACCTATTCCACTGATCCACCACTCTATTTCTTAGCCAGTACCAATTAGTTTTGATGATTGCTGCTTTATAATACAATTTAAGATCTGGAATGGGTAGGCCACCTCCACCTGCATTTCTTTTCATTAGTTACCTTCATATTCGAGACCTTTTGTTCTTCCAAATGAATCTTATTATTTTTTTCTAGCTCTATAAAATAAGTTTTTGGTAGTTTGATATGGCACTGAATAAGTAAATTAGTTTAGGTAGATTTGTCATTTTTATTATGTTGGCTCAGCCTACCCATGAGCAACTGATATTTTTCCAATTATTTAGATCTGACTTTATTCATGTGAAAAGTGTTTTGTAATTGTGTTCATTATAGTTCTTGGGTTTGTTTTGGCAGGTAGACTCCTAAATATTTTATAATGTCTACAGTAACTTTAAATGGAATTTCTCTTTCTATTTCTTGCTGTTGGGCTTTGTTGGTAATATAGAGAAATGCCAATGATTTATGTGGGTTTATTTTATAGCTTGCAGCTTTGCTAAAGTTGTTTATTATTTCAAGTAGTTTTTTACTTGATTCTGTAGGATTCTCTAAGTATATCATCATTTCATCTGCAAAGAGTGATAGCTTTGTTTCTCCTTTGCCTATTCTAATATCTTCAATTTCTTTTTCTTCTCTTAATTGTTAAAGCTAAGATTTCCAGTAACATATTAAACAATAGTGGTGATAATGGACATCCTTGTTTTATCCCTGATCTTATTGGAAATGCTTCTAGCTTGTCCCCATTACATATGATGCTTGCTGAAGGTTTTAGATAGATGCTACTTATTATTTTAAAGAAGACTCCATTTATTACTATGCTCAGAGAGCTGTTTTTTGGTGTGAGCATTTATTTATACCTCTGAAGTTGGCAAATTCTGCAAATCAGCACTTAATTTTTTTTCTTGATTGTCTAAGAAGTGATGAAGAAAGTGTTAGAAATGCTGATTAAACTTGAAAGTGTGTCACAAGAATTTTGGGTGGGGGGCATGGGGAGCCAATTGTTAAACATTTATCAACACACTCTAGGTTCTATCTTCACTACATCTTCCATCTCTTGGAAGTTCATACCACCTCTCACCTAGACTACCTTAATAGTTTCCTAATGAACTCCCTTGCTTCCAGTTTCTTCCCTCTTTGGTCTATCCTTCATGCAGGGGCCAAAATAACCTACGGTCTTAGGTATAACCGTATCACTCCCCACTCAAAAATCCTCAGTTGTTCCCCATTGGTTCTTGAATCAAATACAACTTCCTCAAAGCTCCCTTCCAGTTCATTCATTCACTACATCAACAGACATGTATTAAGCTTTTATTATATTTATTATTATATTATATATGACATGATATGGTATGATATTATATTATAGCCTTTATTAAGCCAGTCTCCACAGTCTGACTCCAAACTACCTTTCCAGATTTCTTTTGTGTTCCTCCCCTTCATGGACACTGTGCTGTAGCCAAATTGGACTAGTACTTCCTCTCCCAATCTGGCTGCCATTCAATGTCCCATCCCTGACTTTGTGCCTTTGAATTGGTTCTTCTCCCATAGATGGCTGGAACTTGATAGCGCCCTCTTCACTGTCTCTCAGAATCCTTTTCTTCCTTCATGATCCTATTTTAGTATTACTTCCTTTGAAAAGCCTTTCTTGGATCCCTCCAATTTTTAGCTCTTTCACCAGCTTCAAATGACCTTTTATTTCCTTATCCAGGACCACGTTTTATCTTCTTCCAGGCAGCAGTAGAATATAAGCTCCTTGAGAGGAGAAACTATTTTGGTTTTACATTTGTATCTCTAGACCTTATCGTGCTGAGGGGACTCATTAAGAGTTTGTGGAATTCAACACTTTCATTTTACAGATGACCTTGGGCCCAGAGAGGCCAAAGGTCACAGAGAAGGGATTTAAGCCAGATCATATTTCTCCAAATCCCAGTGCCCTTCCTACATACCATGCCCTGCTTTGTATTCTCTCACTCTTTATTATAACATAGCTATCTAAGTAGGATTTTTCTCCATGCCTAGATTGTAAGTGTCTTATGAGCAAGGTGTCTGTCCCATCTAGCTTTACGTCTCCAGTGCTTAGCATAGGGTATCACCCACAAGCTTAATAAATGTCTGTTGATATAGTGAATTAATGGCCTGGAAGGGACCTTAGAAGGAGTTGAATATTACACTCTTATTTGACAGAGGAGAAAACTTAGCTCCAGAGACAGGAAATGATTTGTCTAAGGCCACACAGAAAGTGACAAGGTCATGAGATTAGTGGCAGAGCTAAGACTAAAAACTCAGGGATCCTGACTTCTAGTCCAAGATTCTTCCAAGAAAAATTTTTATCTGCCTCCTCCTTTCTCATCCTCAGACTTCTGGCTTATTTTGGCCGATTTCCCAGTTATCTCTTCTCCCTCCTCCCTCTTCCCACCCTCTCCCAGAAATGGCTCTCACAGCCCCTGGCCTAGCCCTAAAGGACACCCTGTGATATCCCCAGATTTTCCACGTGCCAGCCCATGACACCCGCCCACAGATATCCCAGCTTTCTGAAGCTCCATGGGTTTGCTGGCCTGGTGCCAATCTGTGCCACCCACATGCCTACCCTGTTTTTATTCTGCCAGGAGGGGCCAATTACCAATTACCAGTTTCCATTCTGCTAGGAGGGGCCAATTACCAATTAGCAGAGACATAGGAGGCAGTGTTGGCTCTGCCCTGGCCCCTGGGCAAGGACCCAACATTGACAGCTGCTGTACCCCCTCCCAGATCTCTCCCTTACTGCACTGGGGGGAGGGGAATTATGCTAGGGGTGCCCTCCCCCATTCCCTGGAGGAGCATCCCTGGAAAAATTGTAGGAGATGGAGGTTCAATCCTGAGCTCTACACACACACAGATACACAGACACACACACACACACACACACACACACACACACACACACACGCCTTGGACAGCTAAACATCCCAGGATTCCCTAGAGACAGAAATCACTTCCCAACTTGGGTGGGAGGGGGATAATATTTCTTACTAGGTATAGGTATAGGAGTGGAGTAGAGAGGGTAGTGGAGGACTCAGCAACATCCAGAGATATGTTAACATCATGACCATTTTAGGGAACTATGTGTGTCACCCCTCCCCAGTGGATTATGGACCTCTGAAATCCCAGAAGCCTTAGTGATCACAAAGAGGGGTCAGGTTCTGTCCCCCAGAGGGAAGGGAAGGGGGAGAAACAAAACTGTTAAAAGCTCAAAACCCCTCCAGAGAACACCACGGGAGACTCAGCTATAGATATTTCTGTCTCTGCAGATTCCTTCAAAGGCAGCTGGATCAAAGTCTTTCAAGGTAAGGAGCAATCCCCATCCTAGTGTCTCTCTGTTCCTGTCCCCAGATCCTCCCTTTTCCCTATGGGATGATCTGTATTAATTAGCTTGCTGTTATCATCATCATCATTATATATTCCCAAGTAGGACACAGAACGTAGATTGTGAGAGCTGGAAGGGTCCTTGGAGTATAGAATGCCAAGGCTGGGAGGGATCTTAGAACATAGGATGTTAGAGCTAGGAGGAGAGGGGCCCTAGAAAGCAACTGGGGAGGAAGGCAGATTTGCCAAAGCTCTTGCAGTGAGGCAGAGGCAGAGGTGGAGGGTTCAAACCAACGTCTCCTGATTCCCAACCCATGGCTCTTTCCACTGCACCTCTGTTTCTTGTTGTCCTCCATCCCCTCTTCACAACCTCTTCACTGCCTTTCTGTGGAATCTCCTCTCATTTCTGCCCATGTCTTCTCAAGGTCTTCTCTTATGGCTGCTGGTGGCAAGTGTCATAGTGGGATTGGGGGCTGCATTGGGGAAAATAATGTTGCGATTCCTTAGCAGAAGCAGAGACTCTGGTATGTAGTCCCCCAGTACCAGGGCAAGTCCCCAGGGGTACATGGTTTCCCCCTTGCACTTCCCCATCCCAGGGTCCTGGTCAGGTCCTACAAGCGACCTCTCAGTCTGTCTGAGTACATTAGAAAACTGTGTTCTCAGCCCCTGATGGAGAAAAGAGGGAAGACGCTCAAACCTGATCCATAGCTACTTTGTCTTTTTTTTTTAAAGGCAATTGGGATTAAGTGACTTGTCCAGGGTCACACAGCTACTAAGTGTCTGGTCTGAGACCAAATTTGAACTCAGGTCCTCCTGACTCCAGGGCTGGTGCTCTATCCACTTCCATCACCTAGCTACCCCAATAGCTACTTCTTATTGATCCAATTTACTCTGCTCCCTAATGTACCTTCCCAAAGGGATTCTCTACCCTCAGAGATAGCTGCATTCCACACAAGTCGTGTTCCTGATGTTGGAGATGGGGGAATGGTTCAGAGCAGGAGAAGATGGTTGGGAAAATGAAACAAAACCCTCAAAGCCCTAGAGAAAGGTCATTGGACTAAGACACATTCTCCTGTGTCTCCACAGGGAACCACTTATATGGCAATGTTCTCTACTACCACCAGAAGGCTACCACAGCAGGCAAGGGCAAGACTCTGGCAGTGAGTAAGAGAGAAGAGAGCCTGTACTCTAGTAGTTTCCCCAAGCCCCCACCCCAGAGTCTCTGCTTCTTCTCCCTGGAACCCTCCCAGACCCACCCCAGCCTGCATCCTGCTAGTTCTCAGCCATCAAAAACAGCTCCCTCTCCACCCTCCACTTAACCTAGTATTTCTCAGCCTAGCCCAGTGTGGGGTGGGGGAGGGGTTGGCCTTCCTGAAAGCTGGAAAGTGAGGGAGGGCTGAAGTTTCCCAGAAGCCAGGAGGTTGACTTTTCAGCCAAGTCACGGAGGAGCCGATGCTTAAACATGAGCTGGGGCTACATTTTTGGAGATGGACGACATGAGAGTGTTTTGCTTGACCATGAATATTGGTTACAAGGGGTTTGTTTTTCTTTTTTAATTGGGGAGGGGAGGGAGTAGGGAAATTCTTGTTGATTAAAAAACAAACAAAAAACAACATGATCTAAAGCCAATCTTCTCATACACTACATCCATCATGTCCTAGGTGGCCATCTAGGACACTAGCCGAGCTTGCTCTCCCCCCTTTCCCCAAGCCTAATGCCCAGCTGACTTGGTATTCTAATAGTCCCTCCAAAAAGCCTAGAAACCAGAGGCCCATGTTTGATGAGGCCAGGGAGGGGTGTGGACTGTAAGACCCCAGGGGACCCGAGAAGGGAAAGGGAAGGGATAGAGTCTGAGAGACTGAAGTCTGAGGGGTTGGAATTAAGAGGACTTGGATCTGAGGAAACTAGGATCCTTGCAACTGGAATGGAAGAGACTGGGAGCTGGGGATATTGCAATATGAGATTGGACTTTAGGGGAGACTTAGATCTTGGAGGCTGCTATCTGAGGAAACCAAAATTGGAGGGGCTGGTTTCTGTGGGCTGGTATTGATTAGATAAATCTGAAAAATCTATTATTTGGGGGCTGGAATCTAGGGAAGCTAAATTCTGGGTAGCTGAGACTGGGGAGAGACGAGAGTGAAAATAAGCACAGGGGCACAGTGGAGAAAGGAGGCTAGCTGACCTGACTAAAAGGACCTTCCGAAAGTCACTTCCTATCTCCAGGAACCGGGGGAAGGCTGAGATCTTGGGGGTGGGGGTAGGATTAAAGGAATCTGTGATCTTGGTTGTATTGGAGTAAGACTGGGATCTGGGGAACTGAGATCCTGAGGTTGGGACAGGGGAAAGACTGAAGCACATGGGGGTCACCATCCCCACATCCTCAAGGAGTAATCCATTTCTAGGGGAATAGCTGAGTGGGTTGGGGGGATGCAGAAAGAAGTGAGCTTTCCTGGGGACCTTCCTGACACGAAGTGGGAGGATCAGAGACAGTTCCTTATTATCCCAGTTTTCAAGTGACTTAAACACTGACCTCTCCAATCCCCACACACACTGGGCTTCCTTTGGCCCCATCAGGAGAAGCGATAGGTCTGAGGTCAACCTGGTACCCCAGCCTGCATCCCAGTATCATAGCACTAAGGCTTTTTTCTAGGCTTGGCCTGCAGCCCAAAGCTCCCATCCTATGTATGCAGCATGAACATGCGCGCACACACACACACACACACACACACACACACACACACACACACTCTCACACAGTCACACACTGTCGGCCTCCTACAGCTGTTTCTTAACCCCCTCCCTCAGAGCACAGATGGAAGAGAGGAGAGCAGAGGAGCATGGGCAGGTGGCCAGAATACCCCGCTTCTCCCTGCCCCCTTTCTGCCTGTAGTTTGGTCTGAAAACTCCCATAGGATGGAGCCCGTTCTGCCTCCAGGCTCTGCCTGTCACCTTGAAGTGTCACCAACTGAGAGCAGTCTTCCCCCTCCTGTTTCCATGGAGACAGACGTCCTCTCTGATGCCGTCAGAGACACAGACATCCACGAAGGTGGGCAGAGCCGAGGGGACCTGAAGGGAACTAAAGAAGAGCAGACCAAGAGGCCTGGGGAAGGTGAGTAGGCTCTAGGAACCCTCCACCAACTTCAGGCCTTTAGACCCCAATTCTTGATGACCTCCCTTCTCCCCACCCCAACCCACAAGACGCCAAATTCTAGTCTTGGCTTTTTGATCCCTACTCCCCATGTGACAGTGGACAAATTACTTCCCTTTCCTCAACCTCAGTTTCTCTATCTGTAAAATGAGAGAATTGACTTAGAAGACCTCTACAGACTCTTGTGCTTAACATGCTATGCTCCATGTCTCTAAAATAAAATCACTTCATTAATATTTTTATTTTATGAACAAGGAGATAGGGGTCTAGAAGAGGGAAGGGGCTTGCCCAGTCACACAGCAAGAAAAGGGCAGAGCTGAGGCCATAGCCCATGTCTCTGCCCTCCCACTCAGCAGTTTCCTTGCCCCAGACTATCACCTAGTTCCTCTACCTTCCAGAAGAGTGAACCATGGGACACCCTCCCATATAATGGATGGGAGATTAAGGAAGCAGGGGTTGAGCCATGCACATCCCAACTTGGCCAGAGAGATCCACCCTATCCTCCATCACCCTGCCCACCAAGTGCCTTGACTATGCTAGCAACCAAGGCAGGGCATGATTGAAAAGGCTCCCACATGCCAGTAGGGAGGGCCAACCTTGCTCCCACCCAACAGAAGCTCTTGTCTTCCACTTCTCCCCCATGACAGTATGCAGGAGTCAGATATAACTTATTTATTGGGTGGGAGAGAGTGGGAAAAACTCTTGGGGTCTGAAAACTCAGGCCCAGAGAACAAGGCTGTCCATCTGCACCATTGGCTTCCTCCAGCCTGGGATGGGAAGTGGTAGAGGAAGAGGGGGCAAGCCTGAGTTTCCACTCACCCTTTGTAACTTCTCCAGGTAAATTGTATCCAGCCTAGAGCAAACTCTTCTCTGTGCAAGGGCAGAGCCCAGGGCCGTCTTGGATGGCAGTATTGTGTCTAGGGTCAACCGTAGGGCTGAGCTAGGGGCCCGTGTCTTTGTTTTAGCCAGGGACACCTTTTTTTTCTAGGGGAACTGAAATGGTGACTCAGTGAATCCTGAGGGAACTCAATATAAGTCAACAGGACAGAGTAACCTTGTAGCCAAGTTGACTTTTGACCTTTATTGAGCAGCACCAAGTCTAGAACTAGCGAAGTGAGTGTCCTGATCAGATCTCATCAGTAATGTTGGCTTGGGGACCCCATTATAGGGAGGACAGTGACAAACTGGAGAGTGACTGGGACAGAGATGGACCTTGAGATCTGACATGGGATGACCGGTTGAAGGACATGTGGATGCTGACCCTGGATGATGGAGAGCCATCATCCAAGCATTTGAAGGGCTCACATATGAGACAGAGATAAGACTGATTCTCTATTGCTCTCCGAGTCCAGAACTAGGAGTGATGGAGAGAAGTTTCCGAGAGGCAGATTTCAATTAGATAACAACAAAAACCATCCAGAAGCAAAAAGGGACATTTCAGGAGGTGGTCAGTTTCCCGTTACTGGAGGTTTTCAAGGATTGGCTGGATACTAGTCAGCAATGTTGCTCAGGAGAGGTTGGACCAGATGGTCTGGGGTCTCTTCCAGCCTGGAGATCCTGCCTGGGATGGGAGTACCACGGCCAGATATCAGCAGCAGCCCAGGAAGGACAATTGAGCATGAGGCCTCAGGGATGACCCTTGGGTGCTATTGCAAAGGCAGTCAGGGGATCTGCACAGTGATGGGGTGGAGCAGTGCCAGGTGTTCAGTGCCTTGCACAGGCAGGGGGCGGATGCTGTAGTGATGTACAACCTCAGGCACACTGGAGAAGACCCCACTGTGCTGACCCAGCACAAACTTGTTCTCCTTTGTCCGGGTGAATTTCATATGCATGTAGCCCTGGCTGCTCCTAGGAATGAAGAGGAAGCCCTAGGGTCAGGGGGAGGTCCCAGGGTGGGGGTCCAAAGCCAAGGAAGTCTAAGCTCTGGAAGGGCTCAGAGAGGAAAAGGGACTCGGCTAACATCAGTTAGTTAGTCATTGAGATACAGTCACAGTGAGTTAGGGGCAGAACCAAGACTCTCACCCAGCCCTTTGACTCCTGGCTCGAGGATGTGACTCTCTCTCCCCTTTTGGGGGGACATGTACAAAAGGCTCAGATGGCCTCCATGGCCTGGATCTCAACGCACCTACTGCTATCTCCATTCTACGGAGAAACAAACTGAGCAGAAGATGCTGCTATAGAGAAGTGCAGCAGATATTATCATTATTCTCTCTGCCCTCTTGTGGGGCCTCTGAATTTCCCTATCAGGCTGGAAAAGCTCAGAATAGGAACCCAGTGACGAATCATGTCTGCCAGCCAAGCACCAGCCTGCTGAAGAGCAGAGAGATGCCTTACCTGTCGGGTGGCTAGTTTTTGGCCACGGTGGCTCGTCTGGAGTCTCTCCCCCTCAACCCAAAGCCTTCTCCCAAGTTCCCGGGAGGGCACTGTGACCTCTTCCAGCTCTCCCTTTGCTCTGCAGTCTAACTCTTGTCCCAGTGCCCAGGGCTCACCTGAGGGACAGAGAGAAGTCTGGATGGCTGGTCTCACTCTGCCTGACAAGGTAGCTGCCTTCCCTGCAGAGGGACAGGAGGTTCTCAGCCTCAGCCCGGCTTAGGGAGCCGTGGAACCACCTGATGGGGGACAGAAAGAAACAGGGAATGAAGGGAGGTGGCCAGGGTCACACACTCAGAGATGGACCAGGCTCTACACCTCCCCTTCCCGTACTTACATTTTGAGATTCAAAGCACTAGACTATGAGTCCTCAACCCAGCTCTTTTCCTAATTTGGCATGTGACCTTGGGCATGTACCTTCCCCTCCTTGTGCCAGCAAAAAACCCAAGGGAGATGGATTTAATCCCTACAGGCCCTTACAGCAATGAGAGACTGTTACTGCTGCGGGGGGTCATCTCTGCCTAGAAGAGGGAAATCAGGAAGGATTTCCTGAAAGGGGCTACATTTGAAGTGAGCCTTGAATTCTTCATCTCTTCCCCACCTTGCCCGGGCTAGGTCTCATCACTCACGGCTGCTTCTCCAGGGGCAGGGCTGGGTCCACCCGCTCAGCTGGCTGGGGGCTGGGCTCCTCTGGGTTGGGCCCCTTCCCCATCCAGCCTGAGGTCTTAGCTGGGGGCCTCTGAAGCTCCTTAGTCAGGCTTGGGGCTCGCTCCCACTCAGGATTCTCAAACTGCACTGGATCAGGCAGAGAGAAGGCAAAGGATGCTTTTATTTAACCAACTGGTCTTTCTGAAGGCAAAAAACAGGGAGGGGAGCTTAGGGGAGAGGGGAAGTGGGAATTAGGGGATATTCTCAAGGCTTAAGAGGAATAAGGCTTCCATATATTAAAAGTGAAACTAGTATGATGAATGACCAATCACAGTGGGGGAAGATTCAGCCTGGACAGATATCAGAATGGAGGCTAGGGCAGAGTCAGCACATACGGGAGTTTAACAGAGAGAAAGGTCTGCAGGGGAAAGGGTTGACACACTTCTCTAGCATTAAGCAAGGAATGGGGTTGGCAGAAGGAGGGTGGAGGGAAAGGGACTAGGAGAAGAGGTTCAAAGTGGGATGTCCAATAAGGCCAGGATTGGTCAGAGGCCTCAGGGAATCAGGGGCCAATACCTGCAAAAGCCCTGGAGATGTGGTCTTTCTTCCATTCCCAGGGTTGGTCATACTCTTCAGCAGGCCGCTCATCATCCCGAGGCAGGCGGCTGTGCTGGGGCCTCTGCTCAGCCTCAGGACTGCCCCCTGCCGTCTGTTCCTCATAGGGTGTGTCATAGAGCTGCAGGTCTGGTGGATAATTGTGTCTGGTTTAATTCAACAGATATTCATTGATCGCCTACTATACATTTGAAAGGCAGTGTTGGCCAGTGGGTAGAGAGCTGGTCATAAAAATGGGAAGACTTGAGTTCAGATCTCACCCCTAACGCATACTGGCTGTGTGACCCTGGGCAGATCATTTAACTCACTCTAAGCAACACTCTAAGACTTGCAGAAAAGGTGCCAGTCTGAATGGGTAGAGGGAATTTCCTCACCTTGGAGTTGCCTGTGAAATCATAGGTCCAGTCCCTGTCTCTGTCCCTCTATACTTAATGTGCCTGGGGACACAAAGATGAAAAATAACACAGTCCCTGCCCTCAAGGAACTTACAGTCTAATAGTAGGGATATGCCATGTTGGCAAGGTAGGGAGTGACAGGGGTGGGGGAAAGTTCTAGACACAGGGCTTTGGGGGGAGACTAGTCAAGATGCAGAGTAGGAGGAAGCAGGACAGCCCCACGTCCCCCTCACCTATGCCAACAAAGACCTAAGAAGACCCCCAGGCCTAGAAGTGATCAGGGAATCTAAGGAACAACCACAGTGAACCATCCTTTCAGCCCAAGATCATAAACTGGACCCGTAGGCAAATGACCAGGTCAAGAACTATGGCACAGAGGTGGCCGTGGATTACAGATGCAGCAGACTCAGCTCTCAAGGCTCTGCACAGGCAGAGTCACCCAGATCAGATTTCAAGGTTTTAAGCCTCAGGTCAATAACAGAACAAATCACCCCAGGCCCAGGCCAGCAGTATGGGGTGACCCAGAAAGACTAGAACCTTGGCCTCAGATCTCTGGGGCTCAGGCAGCCGGGCAGGGCAGGGCTGTGAACTGTGATTCTGCTCTCAACCATAGACTTAACTGAGCTAGGCGAGCAGCACAGGGAAGTTTTTGGACTTAGAGAAGTTTGAAGATATCGCTGGATCAAAGGCATGGGGTCTCCCAGAAGGGGCTGATGGAGTATTCAGTCCCTAGGGCTGCCAATTAGGTTAGCAGCCCAACTCTCCCAGAGCAGAACCAGAATGAAGCTAAGTAGCAGCAGAATCACCTGTACCTACTGAACCTTTAGGCAGCCAATAGGAGCTGGGGCCAACTACAGTCTACTGGAGTGCTGTCCAGGAACAGGTTTACAGCTGTGTGGTCTAGACTCAACCCAGGAGGGCAGCAATCAGACCATACCCATGATAGGATCACATGGGGTCCACTGGAAGTCTGCAGCTTCCTGGCTCAAGCATCCTCTGTGATCCTTGAAGAACATGGCATTCAATGCCCGAAGAATACAGCAGCAAGATTCCAAATAAGACAGACCTGGACCATACAAGGCCACAACCATCCTGCCAGAAGTGCCCAGAGCTTTGTCATAACAGAAAATGTCAATCTAGGAAGTAAGAGTGAAAGAATAAGCAAATAAAGATAAAGAACCATTATTGACACCAGGGATGTCCAAGACACAAACCCAGAAGAGGAGAATAACTTCAAAATATCAATAAAGCCTCAAAGAAAAACAAAGCTTGACCACAAGATCAATTAGGATTCCTAGAAGAAATGAAACAAACATTTTTTAAAAGTTTAAAATTATGTGAAAAATGAGAGCTTTGGAGGAGAGATTTGGAAAAAGAATTAACAGTTTAACATGACAAGTATAAAACTTTACCCAAGCAACAGATTCCTTGAAAATGAGAATGGACCAAACAGAAATTAAAAGCTTCATGAGACAAGCAAAGACAAAGCAAAATTAAAAGACTGACAACATCTGGAAATGTAGGGGATCTCATATGAAAAACAAATCAAGCAATGAGCATTTAAGAATCACTGGACCACCTGAAAGCTATGACCAAAAAGTGAGCCTAGTTAATGTATTTCAGGAAATCATAAAAGAAAAGTGCCCAGACATATTAGAACAAGAGGGCAAAGTGAAAACAGGAAGACTCTACCAACTGCCTCCTTAAAGAAACCCCCAAAAAGAAAATTCCCAGGATGATCATGACCAAAATCCAAAGCTTCCAGGTCAAAGTGAAAATACTACAAACAGAGGTCTCTAGACATATTGGAAGAAAGCAACAACATCATTAGCTTGGGGGTGGGGACAGGAACATGGCATATTGGAAGGAGGTAAGGACACAACTTCAGGGTGGGAAAAAGCATCATGATTGGGGTGGAATCAGAGATTAGCTTTGAAGAGAAAGATTTCCATGAGAGGGAGGGAGAGAGAGAGAGAGAGAGAGAGAGAGAGAGAGAGAGAGAGAGAGAGAGAGAGAGAGAGAGACTGACTCTATCTCATGGGGGAATGGCCTAAGTGAATTCCTGGAACAGCATGAAAATAGGACAAGAATTGGTAACAGGGAGTAAGTACAGACAGAATAGCTAGAACGTACAATGGGAGAAGGAGAGTAAGAAGGTTGGAAAGGTAGGCTGAGGCCAGCTCATATGAGGCCTTAAATGCCAGGCTAAGGAATTAATCTGTACTTTATCCTAGACACAATAGGGAGCCATGGAAAGTTTTCGAATGAGGGAGATGACATGATCTGTCTCATGAGCATCACTTTGGCATCTGTATATTGAATCCTTTGGAGAGGGGAGAGATGAAACAATCAGGAAGAGACCTAATGGAAGGCAATTGCAATAGTCTGTTGGTGGCTTTGTCAGCAAGGAAAGGGGAAGGCTTTGAGAGATGCAGAGGTACAATGGCCTAGAGTTGGCATCTAACTGAGAGCCAGATGACTTTGAAGTTTTGAGCAAGAAATACAGGGTGGCTGATGGTATCATTAACAGAAACAGGAAAGTTGGTAGGAGAGGAAGGTTCTTTCTTCAGGGGAGGTGAACTCAAAGAGGATAATGACGAGTTCTGTTTTGGACATGTTTGGGGATGAGTTGTTAGGACATCCAGCAAGACAGCATTTACAAAAAGGAGGCATAGAGTCCCAGGGACTAAAAATCCAGCAGAGACGTCAGTCCTGGAAGGGTGGGAAGTGCCAAGAATGAATTTTTTTTTTTAGGCAATTGGGGTTAAGTGATTTGCCCAGGGTCACACAGCTAGTATTGTCAAGTGTTTGGTCTCAGGCCGCATTTGAACTCAGGTCCTCCTGACTTCAGGACTAGTGCTCTATCCACTGCGCCACCTAGCTGCCCCAAGAGTGAAATACTAAAGACATAAAGAGAAACAATTCTGACAAGGAAGAAAAGGGAGAGTTTTCTAAACGGAACAGCTACATGGATTTGAGAACTGGTCAAATGGTCAGCCAGACCAAGAGAGTAATAATTTACAGTTTGATGACATAGAAGGAAGTCTGTAGCAGAGCACCCGAGATTTGGGCTTGGTCTTGTACTGTTTAACACATAGAGATGGCACACTTATCAGATTTGCAGATGGCACTAAATTGGGAAAGGATAACTAATGTGAATTATAGATTCAAATAGGATTCAAAAAGTTTCAGTGGTGGGCTCTAATAAGGTAAGATTTGATAAAGATAGATATTAAGTCTTATACTTGGGATCAAACAATCAATTTTATGATACAAGATAGAGGAGGCAGAGTTAGACAGTAGGTCATCTGAAAAAGATCTGAGAGCTTCAGAGGACCACAAGAGCTCAGTATGTATCATTGTGACACGGCTGTTCAAAAAAACCCACAATGCAGTCTTGGGCTACCTTAAGGGAGCTACAGTGTCCAGGATCAGGGAATCGATAGGCCTACTGTATTCTGCCCTGGTTGGTTCCTCTCTGGAGTACTTTATTCAGTTCTGGGTACCATATTTGAGGAAGAACATTGATTAGCTGAAGCATTTGAGGAGGAAGGATGGTGACTAATCTCACATTTGTAGAGTGCTTCAGGGTCTGCAAATTGTTTTACATATATGAGATACTCACACAGCTCCCTTGTGAGGTAGGGGCTATTCTTATTCCCATTTAACAGGGGAGGAAACTGAGAGAAGAGGGTAAGTGACTTGCCTAGGATCTCATAGCTAGTATCTGAATCAGGATGTGAACTCAGAGTCTTCCTGACTCAAAGTCCAATGCTTGACCCACTTTGCTACCCAGCTGCCTTGTATGATAAATCACTTGAAGGAATTTTTCCAGGGTATACCTGGTTGGGGTAGAGGGGAGGTGAAAATGATAACTTCAAGTATTTGAAAGGCCTTCATGTGAAAGAGAATTAGATTTGTTTTCCTTGCCCCAGGAGATAGAATTAGGAGCAATGGGTGGGAGATTCAAAGAGGCTGAATTAGGCTTGATGCCAGGAAAAACTTTCTAGTTTTTGATTCATTCAAAAGCAGAATGGTTCCCCTTCCCAGGAGATCTTCCAGCAAAGACATTCAGGGAAGTTGTAAAGAGGCTGTTTGTTCCCATCACCTCAGAGGTGCCTTCTACCTGAAATTTGGTGCTTCTGGGAAGTATGGAACTGACATTTAGGAGGCAGATCAGGCTGGCCTGGAGAGCGAGGTTTGGGGGTCACTCACATAGAAGAGATAATTAAAGCCGTGGAAGTGGATGAGATCACAAATGGAGAAGTTGTAAGGGATGGGGAACCTGCAGGCCACATGTGGCCCTCTAGGTCCTTGGGCGCAGCCCTTTGACTGAGTCCAAGTTTTACAGAATATATCCTTTTATTAAGGGGACTTGTTCTGTGAAGTTCAGATTCAATCAAAGGGCTGCGCTTGAGGACCTAGAGGGCCACATATGGCTTTGAGGCCATAGGTTCCCCACCCTAGCTGTAGAAAGAGAATAAAAGGCTGAGTGCTTCCTTCCTGATCCCGGGAAGGGGGTAGGGATTAGAAATGTCAGTAGGGACCTGGCTTCAAGGACAGAGTACTTGGGGAGGGCCCCTTGAGGGCCAGGCAGAAGCAGGCATTACCCACCCACTCTGATGCAATGACACTCACCTGTTACCACACACTGGGCATCATAGGGCTCCATGTAGCTGTTGTCAGCAGGCAGCTGCTCTGGAGCACCCGACTGGGCTTCAGGCTGGGCATCAAAGGGATCCGAATACTCACTGTCATCTGCTGTCTAGGTGAGGACAAGGGACTCAGGGTGGTTCTCCAACACCTGTCTCAAATATTCCCTCTCCCACCTTCTGCCCCAGTGAAAGGTCTCTTTCATCATTTATGTTGTGTGGTTCGTTGGGTCTTTCTAGCATTATGGTCTGTGTTTTAAGCTCTCTTTCAACTTGGACATTAATGCCCTTTCCAATCCACTCATTCTGTTATATTGACCTCCCATTTCTATGATCCCTCTCAGATCTAAGGTCCCTTCCGACTCAAATATTCTGCATTCTAAAGCCCCAATTCAGTGATCCATTGCAGTTCCAATCCTGACATTCTCTTTCAAAGCTCATTTATCCCTTATCTCAGATTGATTCTTCTGTCCTTTCCCTTCTACCAGCAGTCACAGCCTCTCTCTCTCATTCTCTCCATCCAGCCCTGATCATCTTCCCTATTTAATCACCAATCCTTCATCCCCATTCAGGCTCCCATTGACCACAGACAACCTTTCTTGGCCCTGACAGATCTGATGCTGCTCTTCCTGGGGCTTCCTCCTTTTCACCCACTACTCCCAGGCAGCCTTTCTCGGCTCCTGGAGGCACCACCAGGCAACTCTTTGGCTTCCCTTTCTTTCCTATTTCAAGCAGAATGACTGATAGTTTTCTTAATGCAGGATTTAGAGTTAGAAGAACCTGGTTCAAATTCCAGCTCATGTCTTTGATAGTTGTATGATAATGAACAAGTCTTAGCCTGTTCCTTCACCTGTAAAATGGGTTTAATACAATTTGTGCTACCTAACCCAGAGGGTTGTTTCTTGGAAAGGGCTTTGGCTAGAGGAATGTAAATTATTGTTATCCATATTTTCTGGTCTGCTGTTCAACCCAGTACCTCTAACCTTGGGCAGAATACAAAGACAGTGACTTTCCTGGGGTCACAGAAGCACACTGGTCTAGGCTGGGGTCATTCTAACTGCAGTAGTACTGAGCACCTAAGGGCTAAATTCCTCCTCCCCACCCCCACTCCCCTCAAACCCAGGGTACTCACCTTGTCTTCCCCAGGAGCTCCCAGCAACATCTTACTGCGGTTCAGATCTCCTGACTCCACTTTGATGAGCCTGTATTTGGGAGAACCGTATTGGTGGTCCCCAGGACAGGAAGGCTTGCTGGGGCAACTGGGGCAGGTCGAGTCTGGCTCCGCCTGACCATCGCCATCCTCATAAGGATCTTCAAAGTCCAAACTCTTCTGAACCCGATAGGCCCGGAAGATATCACTCTCTGTATAATCGGGTTTAGGGGGTTGTGGGGGGGTCCTTCGACCACCAAAGGTCAGGTAGTCCTTCAGCCACTTGGCCATGTATTCTCTGCCTAATTACTCCCTAGCCTTTGAACCTAGCGTTTGAGAATCAGGCAGGTAAAAGGGACCAGAATGGATTACTTAGGAATGTTTTCAGGTTCAACCCTTGCCACCTGTCTCTGGCGGCTCATCAGCACTCTCCTGAAACCAGGTGGGGAAACTGAGGAATAGATTCAGAAGTCAGAGAGGGGGAGGCAGATTCAGGGCTTAGAGAAGGGAGGACCGGAGCTATTGATCCCATTCTAGCTCGGGCTACTGGAGGGTCCCAGGGACAAAGCTTCCAGGCTTCCGCGGAGGTGGAAGGTCAGGTGACCACCTTAGCCTGGTCAGCGCCAGACTTCGGGAGTGCAGAGCACCAACTCGGCAGGGACCCCAACGGGCTCTGAAATCGTGACTAATCTTCCTCTGCTGTCTCTGGGGTAGCAGCCAAGGAATTTCTAAGGTCACAGCCGACCACCTTCAGATCAACTGCCTCAGCGTTCAATGCTCAGATTTTCTCCGGGACCCCAGGTCTCGAGGGACTGGGACAACTGCTAGGGAGGGAAGCTAGTGTCCTCTTCCCGAAACCCTGCACAAGTAGGGGCCGGCTTCTCAGAGTGTCGGAACCGCTAGGCAGCGGAAGAGAAGGTGGGCTTTGGCAGCCGCGGCTGCAGGAGCGCAAACTTGGGCTGCGGGGAGCTAGTCCCGGGAGCTCCGTATCCCCGCCGGCTCCGCTCCTTTGCTCTGCTCGGTTATAGGCTCCCAGGGTGTGCCGCGGAAGGCGGGAGCTCCCCAGCCTCCAGGTTAGCTCCGAATGCCGCTGCCACAGAAGGAATGAGCGTCCTGCTGGACACTGGAGGCGGGCACCGCGCACCGGGAGGAGCGGGTCCCGACCAGAGGCGGCCCCGCTTCTGGTCCTGCAAGGGGCGGGGGGGGGGCGCCGGTAGCGAAGAGACCAGACGAGCTTTTAACTCAGATGTAGAGGCGAGGGCGGGAGGCTGGAGCAACACGTCAGCTCCCGCCCTTCTATTCCCCACTCTCCCTCCTCCTGCTCCCTACGGGACTCCTTCGGTCTCTGTCCTCCTCTTCCTCCTCCTTTTCCTTCTTGTCCTCTCCCCTCTCCCTCCTCCATTCCCCTCTTCCCTCTCCTCCTCCCTCTTTCCCCCTCTCCATTCTCATCTTCCTTCCCTAATCCTTCTTACTCCTCCCCCTTCTCCCCGCCTGTCCCTATTCTCCAGCTCCTCTCCCCCTTATTTCTTACCCTCACTCCTCTATCTCCAGCCTCTAGCCCCTATCCCCCTTACTCCTCCCCTTCACCCTCCCTGTCCCTCAAGCCCTTACTCTGCCTCCTCCCCTCTTCTTTATCGTTTCCCTTCCTTTCTCGCCCCCCTCCTCTTCCCCTCCCTTGTCCTCTGATCTTCCTGGCTCCAGCTCTGAGGTGACCTAGACCTTCAGCTGCCCGGGAGCCATAAGGAGTGCCCAAAGCCCCTCCAGCTCGGGGGAAGGGGGAGGGGAGGAAGACGAGGAGGGGGAGGAAGAGAGGGGGAGCGAGAGCGGGTCAGTGAGGGGCCAGGCTCCCTGGGCAGATGTTGAAGCTGCGGAAAATAAAGAGGAGAGAATGGAATGGATTGCAGGGAGGGTTTGGGGCTGACAAAGGTGACCGCTATGGGGGATGGGGCGGAGAGGTCATTGACTGTTATTACCTCCTCTTCCATCCCAGGAGGTCGTTTTGCAGCTTTCCTATCCCCTCCTCCTCCTGGGGATGTTATTGTTGGGGGGGAGGTTTAAGAGCAGCTGCTGAGGGAAGCCGGGGGCAGAAGATGCTATCACTTCTCAGACACGTGGCCCAGTCTGGCCCATCTGCTGCGCCTTGGAGGCCCTGAGTATCGCCCCCCCCGCCCCGCCCCCCCCGGACCCCAGTCGAAGGGGCAGAGAGCTGGAGACCTACTGGAGACTCCATGTGACCAGTCTTGCTACCACAAAGGAACTCAGAGTATAGAAAGAAAGATTTAAGACATCAGAGATGCCCCTGGTCAGCTCTTTCTCTCTTCTTTTTTCCCCTGTTCCCCATTAGCCCAAGCCTCTGGCTTTGATAAACCAAATTAGTGGTTGAGAAGCTGTGTGGCTGCTAGCAGGTTATCAGCCAATCAGTTGTCTAGAGAAGCCTAAATCCCCCCCTCCCCCCTCCAAGTGTGGTAGTCCCACCTTAAGTTTCATTTTTCTGTTCAGTGTTTTATTTTCAAGGAATCACTTTCCCCCAGCTTCAGTTTTTTTTCTTAAAGGTGTCCTGTACAAGGCCCTGCTAGACAGCATTTCATTTTGAAATGATGAGAAAGCCCCTAGCCATGGTCCCAATCCTATACTTCTCCACCCAGTGGGAACAGACCTTAGTGAGGGAATCAAAAACAACTCAGCTTTGCAGGTACTTTTCCAATTAGCTTCTAACAGGCCTAATAGCTTTCCTTCTTTCAGGTCACATTGTTAGAATAAAGGCCCCACTTCCACTTTCATTCTCAGCTGATTTCACAGATCTGTCAAAATCCTGAATGGGAACCTAGCATAGGACATCAGGACTGAAGAGGCTGAATTCCAGGGTCCTGAGCAGCTTCTCTCAGGGTGAGGTAAAGGTTTTACTTGACCCCTGCTCCTGTGTAACACATAAACTTTTCATTATTCTGGAACAGTAAGTCTCTTGTGTAAGTCATTCCCTGCACCCTTTATTTCTGAGCCCTGATCCCTTGTCTGTCATGGGTATCCAGTTTCACTGATGTCCACCCCCTTCCACGCTGGGCTAAACTCTGGACTCAACTCTGGACTCCCCCACCTACCCTGTCTACCATCTGCCTTATTGGGGACTTCTCTCACCCTAGCTCTGTTCCCAACCTGGAAGAAGAGTTCTGTCACTCTTGATGCCCCTGGAGAATGATAGCACCAGGGTGACCAGTCCCTTGGTCTGGGATAGGACCTCAGACTCCCCAGTTTCCAGCTCCCTGTCTTTGGTCCATCTCTCCACCCTCCTCCAACCCTGCGAGCCTCTTCAGCTTGAAGGAACCTAGAATTTAAGAGGTAAAGTCACAGCTATAAGTTTTGTACTTCAGTCCCTTTATTTTACAAATGAAAAAACTGGAACCCGGAGAGAGAAAAGTGACTTGTCCACAAATTAGTCCAATGAATTAGTCCAGAACTGGACAAACTTTGGTCTCCCAGCTCTAAATTCAGCGATCAATCCCTTGTACCCCAGGGACTAGGAACACTTTGGGTTTAGAGTCTTATTCCTTCCCCACAGCCCATCTCCCTTAAAGCCTTCCTCCTGCAGGAAGGCAGAGCAAGGAAGAGCTGGAAGAGGACTTAATCATCCCAAGACTGCAGATTGAGAGATGAAACAGATCTACGAGGTCATCTCATCCAACCCCTCTCATTTTATAGATGGGGTCACTGAATGGACCTGGCCAAGGTGACACAGCAAATCAATGGCTGAACCAGTACTCAAAACTAGGTGTCCTGACCCCTAATCTGGAAATTTCTATAGGAATAAAAAAGAAACCCAACACATTTTTGTTCAAAAATGTAGCTAGCATTTATATAGCATTTTGCTTGCAAAGCACTCATATATGTCGTGTGTGTGTGTATACACCTCATTAAAGAATCAAATTCAGTCCTTTCAACTGCTCCGGGAGCCTAAGTCTGAGAAGGAAGGGTCTGTGTAATTTGAGGAAAAGACAGGATACTGTCCTATTTTCCACCCAGAGCTACAGGAAGCTACACAGTGACACTGGCAATATTTGTTGACAAATCTGATCAAGTTGTGGCCTGTCAGGTGTCTGCAGTATAAACATTAGATGGGGGCTGGCTAATTGCATTTTTATGTGGAAGGAATGGCAACCAGAGGTCTCATGATCTTCAAACAAGTCTGATTTCTGGGCTGTGACTTCTGGTTTTAGGGAGATGCCAGAGGGATCCCTGGGCCTTTTTCAGAGTTCTCAAACCTCAGAGCTAGAAGGAACCTCACAGGCACCTCGGTCCCATCCCTAGCAGAACAAGAATCCCCTTTACAGCATTCTCAGCAGGGAGTAATTGCAGTCTCTACTTGAAACCCCCCAGTGAAGGGAAACTCACTACCTCCTGAGGCAACTTTTTCAACTTACTATTTTGGACAGTTCTCCTCGTTAGCAAGTTTTTCTTATATGGAGGCAAAAACCTGCTTTTCAACAACTTCCAGCCATTCCCTTTCCCAGTAAAAAAGGCAGGATGTTCAAAGGATGAGAGGAGTTCTTGGCTAGAAGGGCAGCAAGAGTGGTCAGGTCTGAGTTCAGCGCATTCTCAGAGCAGTTCATGAGGGAACAGCTGACCTTGAACAAGCTGATTTGTTAAGGGCCAGCTCCAGTGGCCGATTGGTCCAGATGCAGTCCTGCCTTGCTGTGTTACATTCCAGAGCCCCAGGTAGCTTCCTCTTCTCATTTCCTCCCTCCCCATGCCCTCAACGCTAGACATAGGACTGGATAAGAGCAGGATTTACTATAGACTTTCAGCTGGCCACAGCTCCTGGGACTCAACTTGGCCCCAGGCTCAGGGCATCCAACTCTCTACTTGGCCTGAGAGGAATGATCTTTTCCCCACCAGAACACCCTTTCTACAATTGATTTCAGATTCATCCTCCTGGGCACTCTGGTCAAAGCTCATTCTACCATTCTACGCTCTCAGGCTCACTTAGACAGGGTATACAAGTCTACCTTTCCAGAGTTGTAACTAGGGTAGGGCAGCTGCGGACTTGTCCAGGAGCTGATTTCTGCTCTACTTCTTACCTGGTACAGTCTAGAGACTGCAGTCTCCATACCTGAAGCTTCATTATCCTTCATCAGGCACTATTGCCATAGGATGTTGATGAAAGGAAGCCGGGGGAGGTGATAGAACACCAGTGGCAAAGATAAGAGGAAGAAGGGAAGGAGGGGCCAGGGTACTCTTCTCTCCCAATGATTACAACCAATCCATACATGTTTGGACTCCCTCTCTTAGGGCTCATTGCCTCCCTTTCCATTTGAAAGTCCTTCCTCCTGCTACTTCTCCTCACAGTCATCCCCTTTCCATTGTGCTGATTTTCCTCCTCTACTGTTAACAAATTTCCCTGAATTCTACATTTCTCCCTCTCCTGTTCCTTCCATCTTCTGCTCATTGAAACCTAGTGTTCTCCTAAAGATGCCACCTCTCTTGACAACCTCTCCAAGGCAGAACAGGAAGAAAACCAGCATTTATTAAGTGCCTACTATGTGACAGGCAGTGTGCTAAGCACTTTACAAATATTATAAATACTATCTCATTTGATCTTGCCAAGAACCCTGGGAGATATGTATCATTACTAATTTTATTTTTTATTATTTTTTTACATTTCTGTATTAGTCATGTTATGAAGGGATGGATAGATAGGTAGTGCAGTGGATAGAGTTAACTCTAGAGTCAGGAAGACCTGAATTCAAGTCTGACCTCAGACACTTACTAACTGGGTGACCCTGGGCAAGTCACTTATTCCTGTTTGCCTCAGTTTTCTCATCTGTAAAAAGAGCTGGAGAAGGAAGTGACAAACCACTCTAGTATTTTGCCAAGAAAACCCCAAATGAGGTCACAAAGAGTAGGACATGCCTAATCTACTAAACAACAACAAAAACATGTTATGAAAGAAAACACAGACCAAAAATTAAAAAAAAAAACCATGAAAAAATAAAGTAAAAAATAGTATGCTTTGATTTGCATTCAGACTCCATCAGTTCTTTCTCTGGAGGTGGATAGCATTTTTTTTTAATCATGAGTCCTTTTGGAATTGTCAACTATCTTCATTTTACAGTTGAGAAAAAAAGCTGAAGTAGACGGAAATTAGTTGTCTTGCCCAGGGTCAGGGTCACAAAGCTATTAAGTGTCTGTGATCACATTTGAATTCAGGTCTTCCTGACCCTAGCCCACTTCTCTAAGCCTTTAACAAGGAATAGTCAGTCGGTCAACACGCATTTATGTGTTTACTGTGTGCCAGGCACAATGTTTAAGTGTTAGGGATACAGAGAAAGGAAAAAAAATGGTCACCTTGGTTCCCAGCTCACAGATCTTCCCATTATATCTAATGTAGAACTCCACACAGAGTAACAGATAATGGGCAAGCTCTAAGCCCTGTAGTTAGAGAAAAGAGAGAAGGGGGCACTGGAGTAGTCAGGGAAGGCTCCCTGGAGGAGGTTGGAAGATTTGGATGGAGGTAGGGGATGGTGTCTGGAAACCCCAGGCCTGGGGCCATAGTGAAGTTGGAGGAAGCTACCTACAGCATCTTGGCACATCAGATGGAAAGTGGCTAGGAATTGCCAAGTCCTCTTTCTGACTGAACCCTGAGAGGCAGAGCTGCCTAAAATCTCTCCCAGATGCCAAGGCTTCTCCACCCCTCCCTCATTAGAGCCAGACCCAGGCCAAGGGGAAGAACCCTGGCTAGATGGGAGCTAGACTGTTCCCTCCCCATCCCACCCCATCCCCTCTTCCGAAGGTGTGTTGATTGCATCCTGTCAAAGCCATCCCCACCCAATGGCTCTGGAGACCAGAACCTGCCTCCTCATTGCTGTTTCGCTTGAGAATAATTGCAGACTAGTGCCTAAAAATAGGGGCCCATCATCACTCATCCTTGAAATACTGACAAAAACACACATACCCACAAGCCCCTTGTAAACAAACCTTGGAATGAAGGAGTGGAGAGGAAGCAGTGCAGCCATCACCATGAGGTGGATGTAAGAAATGAGAAGGAGATGGGGAGTGGAGGGTGGTGTGGGCAAGGGAAGGTGAGGACAGCTACAGCCTCATAGCTGAAAGGTATATACCACATCAGAACACAGAACATCAAATGGGAAAGCAAGGGACCTTTGCTGAATCTAACAGTTGGAAGGAAGCTTAGAAAAGAAAGATAATTTTACCTTCCTATAAATGGTATAAGGTTTTCAAAAGGCTGTCTCCACAGCAACCCTGGGAGACAGGTAGAGCACCTGCTATTCCTTCAATTTTATAGATGTGAAAATTGAGACTCAAATAGGGAAGTGACTGGCCTGAGTTCACAGAAATAGACATAGAATGTCCCTTAGGGCATAGACTGTTAGAATTGAAAGGGCTCTTAAAAAATAGAATAGCAAAGTTGGAAGGGCCTTTTAGGACACAGAATGTCAGAGCTGAAAGGCACCTTAGATCACAGAATGTCAGAGCTGGAAGGGCTCTTAGAACACAGAGTGTCAGAGCTGGGAGGGCCCTTAAAACAGATAAAGCCAGATCTAGAAAGAGCTTTAGATGTTGAGCCTAACTCATACCCATCACCCTCCATTAGTAAGCTGCTCAAGCGCAGTTATCTATGCATCTCCAGTGTATTATATGGTTAATAGATGTTTACTTTACAAATGGGAAGATGAAGCCCATGGAAGTGGCTCATTGATAGTCATAAAGCAAATTTATGATAGAAATGGGACCAAAATCCAGGTCTTCTGACTCTTTAGAAGGAAGAAGCACAGGAAGAAAGGAATGAGCACTAACTGACCCTCCTGGACTTGGCAGCTGTCCTTTGCCTCAGGGAGGAGGCTTGGGCCCTACACCTGGAATGGGGATATAGGATGGGGCATCTTAACCGGCCACCAGGTACTCTTTATAAAGCTAAAAAATGTGCAACGGCATCGGGAGAGTGGGGAAATCAATATCTCTAAAAGCTCTGGCAAATCCCTTCAGGATCCAATTAGCCAGACTTTTATCATTGTTAATAATACTAGCTCAATTCCATCTAATAAACGTTTTAAAAACACTAAGGTACTGAGAAAGCAGCATGCTATAATGTGAAAAGAGTGCTGTACTCAAACCCACCCATGACACTTACTAGCTGTGTGGCACTGGGCAAATAACTTCTCTGTGCCTCAGATTCTTCACTTGTAAACCGGGACGATGACGCCTGTAAAATCCTCACAAAACTTAAGATGCTAGTACAGACAGTTCTCCATTTAGCGGATGCAGACCTCTATGACAAGTGAAAATGCAAATTTGCCCTGGGGAAGGAAGGTAGCTAGGAAGGGAGCCCCATGCAGTAGAGGGAGGGGGCTGGCACATGTTCATAGACATGTGAGGAAGATGGCAGAGTAAAGGCAGGGACTTGCCTGAGTTCTTCCCCCAAACTCCTCCAAATACTTTAAAAAAATGACTCTAAACAAATTCTAGAGCAGCAGAACCCACAAAAAGACTGAGGGAAACAATTTTCTAGCCCAAGACATCTTAGAAGGTCAGCAGGAAAGGTCTGTTGCACCAGGGTTTGAGAGGAATGCAGTCCAATGCAGACCTCACCAGCACAGCCTCAGTCCCAGCAAACTAGAAGCAGGCCTTAGGAACTACTGAATTAGCAGTGGCAGCAGCTGCTTCCAGAGCTCTCAGCCCACAGATGGTAAAGGGGTTGAGCAACTGGTCAGAAGGAGATTACAGGGGTCTCTTTGCTGGCACTGAGGCAGGACTCTGTTGCTTTACCCATACTCAGATCCAAGTTGCAGGCCTGGTGGCAGTCCCAGGGTGAGAAGGAACTCGAGGTTGAAGTGGACAGGAATCCTTCCTCACAGTTTCAGGGCAGAGAAGAGTGCTTGTGGTCACTCACAGACCAAAGCACAGGCCAGGAAAGGAGTAAACATACCTCTCCTTAGATACGGAGATACCTCCACGTTGGAAGAACTGAAAACATTAAGGTCCATAGAAGTATCTTTGACAACAGCTGCACAAAACCCCTGAAGCTTGAGACAGTATGCTCTCCATATGGAAGCAGAGACCCATTTTGAACAGCCAAGTAATAGGCTGGGAAAATGAGCAAACAGAAAAAAAATTCTGACCATAGAAAATTACTATGGCGACAAGGAAGATCGAAACGCATACTCAGAAGAAGACAACAAAGTCAAAGCTCCTACATCCAAAACCTCCAAGAAAAATATAAATTGGTCTCAGGCCATGGAAGAGCTCAAAAAGTATTTTGAAAATCAAGTAAGAGAGGTGGAGGAAAAATTGGGATGAGAAATGAGAGTGATGCAAGAAAATGATGAAAAAAGAGTCAACAGCTTGGTAAAGGAGATACAAAAAAATACTGGAGAAAATATCACCTTAAAAAACAGACTAGGCCAAACAGTAAAAGAGGTACAAAAAGCCAATAAGGAGAAGAATGCCTTAAAAAGCAGAACTGGCCAAATGCAAAAAGAGGCACAAAAATTCACTGATGAATAAAACAATCTGCTTAAAAAGTAGAATTAACCAAATGGAAAAGGAGGTACGAAAGCTCAATGAAGAAAATAATTCCTTAAAAATTAGAATTGAGCAAATGGAAGCTAATGAGTTTATGAGAAATCAAGAAACAATTTTAAAAAATTGAAAAAATAGAAGGCAGTGTAAAATAACTCATTGGAAAAACAACTGACCTAGAAAATAGATCCAAGAGAGATCATTTAAAAATTATTGGACTGCCTGAAAGCCATGATCAAAAAAAGATCCTAGATATCATCTTTCAAGAAATTATCAAGGAAAACTGCCCTGATATTCTAAAACCAGAAGGTAAAATAGAAATTGAAAGAATCCACCGATCACCTCCTGAAAGAGATGCCAAAATGAAAACTCCTATGAATATTATAGTTACATTTCAGAGCTCTCAAGTCAAGGAGAAAATATTGCAAGCATCCAGAAAGAAATAATTCAAGTATTGTGGAACTACAGTCAGGAAAACACAAGATTTAGCAGCATATCCTACATTAAAGGATCAGAGGGCTTGGAATATGATATTCCAGAGGGCAAAAGAACTAGAATTACAATCAAGAATCACCTACCCAGCAAAATCCTTCAGGGGGAAAAAATGGACATTCAATGAAATATAGGACTTTCAAGCATTCTTGATTAAAAGACAAGAGCTGAATAGAAAATCCAACTTTCAAATACAAAACTCAAGAGAAGCATAAATAGGTAAACAGGAAAGGGAAATCATAAGGGACTTAATAAGTTTAAACTGTTTCCATTCCTACATGGGAAGATGATAACTTGTAATTCATAAAAATTTTCTCATTATCAGAGCAGTTAGAAGGAGTATATATAGAAGGAGGGCATAGGTGTGAGCTGAATATGAAGGGATGATTTCTAAAAAATAAAACTAAGGGGTGAGAGAGGAATGCACTGAAATAAAGTTGGAAAGGGAGAGGTAGAATGGGGGTAAATTATCTCACACAAAAGAGGCAAGACAAAGCTTTTATAATGGAGGGGAACAGTGAAGAGGTGAGGGGGAGTGAGTGAACCTTACTCTCATCAGAATTGGCTCAAAGAAGGAATAACATACACACTCAATTGGGTATAGGAATCTATCTAACCCTACAGGAAAGTAGGAAAGGAAGGGGAT